CGTACCGGGCAATGCCAGAAGGGCCGATGCCCATATTTGGGCCGGTCTGTTTGCCTCATACAAAAAAGATGTTTGTGAAAAGTGTAAATCCGTTGAGAACTGTTCGAGGGGGCGCGCGTGTCCGCGGGGCACCTGCTGTATGTACTGGAACGGGATTCTACCACCTCAGCGGCCGCAGTGTTCCGGCATCCAGCGGCTCTGAGCTGGACGCGGGAACCGCTCACCGGGAGCCGCTCACAACACAACACGGTGAGCGCGTAGCCGCAACGTGAATGTACCAAGACCATAAACGTGCACAGGACCATGCGTGTCTTTGCGTAATTTGTGCACCCAATAAATACACCGCTGCAGGAAACAGTCCGCGTCTCCCCTCTCCTCTCGAAGTGCGACTAAATTAAAGCTCGGGTGCCTAAATTTTCCATTGCATTAAAAGTTCATGTTTGAGCCCAAAAGTAAAATGTTGTGAAAAAATTAAACAGATTTAGAGCCAGCCAATGGCTGACATTATGCATTTCAGACTTTTTTGACCAATTCTCATCCCTGTAACAAACAACAGTGTTGTCTGCGGCCACCTCCCTCACTCTGAGACATGTTTATTACTCTCTTGTAATGTAGACTATTGCCCTTTATTTTTTTGTTGAAACTGTAGACATCCTGATCCTCTACAGTATTTGCTTCCACATACTGTATAAACCAGGGGTCGGCAACCTTTAGTGCTCCTCCAGTGGCTCCTGGAGCCTTTTCAAAAATGTCTGAAAATGGAGTGGGAGGGCTATATTTTATTTCTAGTTTGAATGTGGTTTCTGTAGGAGGAAAAACATTCCTAACGTATTTCAATGCTGTAAAAATGTGTATAAGTAATATTCAATTTCAACATTTCTGTCAACGTAGTGAGTCATATCCTGTGGCGCGGCCCCCAGGCGGCCGCTGCTGTAAACAAACCGGCGTGTGCGCACGGATCCCAAAGATAAAAAGAGAACGAGTCGATAATAAGACTGGACTAAGAACAAGACTGAACATTTGCTTTTAGTCAATGAGGAAGGACTGCTTCATGTTTGCGATGTAATAGGAAGTTTTGTTGCAACACGAGGAACAATGAAGCACTAAATACCGTTCACAGGGATTACGTGAAGGATTCTTTCATACAAAATCCGGAGCACCTTTTTCAGACTTCAAAAACCTCCGCAAAGACTGTGAAAGAAAAGTCCATTAAGGACATTCAGCTCCAGCAAACTTCAGCCTGTGACGTAATCGATATGAGCGGACAGTGCAGGTGTGTGACCTTTGAGCCAAAAAGCAGATTTATTTACTGTATTTCTACAGTTGCATGAAGGCAAAAAAATAGAAGTCAAAGTTAAAGCAGAGTCATCGCGTGGTGCGTCATTCTCTCCAGGACACGCTGCAGTGAAAATACACATTTGACAATCATGAATGCTTATTATGTATTTGTAGCCTTTACTTGGTCATTTAGATAATAGGCTAATGTAGCTAATGTAGCTACATTGTGTAACCTTCATATAAGCTTTATACAAGGCTGTTATTTTTTTGCGGCTCCAGACAGATGTTTTTAGTATTTTTTGTCAAATATGGCTCTTTGAACCTTTTGAGTTGCCGATCCCTGGTATAAACAAACTGTAAAAAACGTGACAAAAACATGCCTGGGCCGGTAAGAAGGAAAAAATGCCCGGGCCGTTTTTTTGTCCCAGTCCAGCCCTGTATGGGAGTAATGAGAAAAAAGTTTTGATTCGCCACCAGCTCAAAACTGCGCACAAGGCAGCTGTTTGTGCACTTTCCCACACTTCATCTTTACCTGGTGCATCAGCAACAACTGACACTAGGTTTGCTCTGGCGGACCGTGTCTGTGGCTTTATCGCAGAAAATAACGTTCAGAATATCACTACCGCTGGTACATTTATTTAAATCATTTGCAGTTGATCGAAGTGCACTGTGCACTCAAACTTGATAGGGAAACCTTTTTCTTAAATATTGACGTGTCCACAAACAAATGTGGACAGAATTTTATCGTCCTTTTGCAATATTTTGACGAGGACAGAGCCAAAGTGTTGACGCTCCATATCGCCTCAAGTAAAGCTACTCTCACTAATATTCTGTCAAAAAGTTGACTCGTTGCTTGATCCACTTATATTTCATATCAAAATACACTGTATATCTTTGAAGAATTCATTTGAGCTGTATTCAATATACAATCTATTATACAATAATATATTGTAATAAAAAATATAACTTGGTCCTGCATATTACTGTGATTTACATGTGATAAATTTCCATGCAAACATTTTCAGTCAAATCTTTTTTTTTTGCTTTAACCCCTGACATAACTCAAGATAAATGAACAATAACTCTATACTAAAATAATAATAATAAAATCTCTAACTTTGGCATGATAAAGAAGCAAGTATAAAATTAGTGATTAGTGCTTTCTAATAAGATAAAGTCAGCATCTCTTGGTTAGATTTGTTTACAGAATGTTACTTTTACCAGTGACACTCTTTGTTATTAATGTAATAATGGAAAAAGGTGAGATACCACAGCGTTAAGTGATAACAGAGCAGACCGTAGCAGCACTTCCAGCTTCCACTTCTTAATCCTGCATCACATGGCCTTGGTCCTTCTTCTACAGCCTGAGTCCTGGATCTACAGCCCGTCCGTCTTTGGGAGCAGATCCCTCCGTAAGTCTGGGCCTTCCTGAGGTTTCTCATTTTCTCCCACTGGGTTTTTGGAGTTTTTCATCGCCGATGCAGGAGGGTACAAGGGCAGTGGTTATGATCCAGGACACTCGACATTCAAAGACATTTATGTACATTGGTCTCTGCCCCTTATGGACCAATAGCTATATGTGCTTTCCCAATAGGCCCTTACCCCAAAGCCCAGGCATTACTCGTTGTAACTGTCATAAGTCACAATTGTGACCTGCACGCGACGGCACGTGCCCAAGCACTGATAAAACAGAATGTTTTGCTCCTGCTGCAGTACACAGTGCAATGAATGGGGTCCTATGGGGGGGGTGGGTGACCTCATGATGGTGAGGTGATTGACGAGCGCTGACGCGCTCGTCAATCACCGAGAACCCAATAGTTGCGTTCGTCTGGTCGTTTGCTTTAAAACTGTGTGTCATTTGTATTATAGGTTACTATGGAAACCTATATTGTTTTTGCTCGAATATTTTCAGAAAAAAATCCTTGGTTTATTTCTTTCTTTTTTCTTCTGCACTTTGAACCTTAATTTGACCCCGTGAACATTAATGAAAACTTGTGAAATTTTGCCTAAAATTCAGAACTGGCGAAACATTTATTTTTCTGGTGTTTATTTTTATGGGACTAAAAAAATGCCCGAACAGCGCCCCATACAAAAGTCAGTTTACATTGCGCCTATGGGAGGGGGTCGGAGGGCAAGTTTGTCGTAGAGCCACGAAATTCGGTACACGTGTTCCTCAGGTCAAGACATGAAAAAAAGTTATTATGGCTCCGCCCCCTGACAAACAGGGAGCTCATTAATTTCAATGGTAAATGGAAAAATGAAAATTTATCTTTTTCACACATGTCGGTTGGAAATCAACCCCTCCTCGGCCGTTTCACCGATTTGGCTGAAAATTGCTCCACATGGTTTAAACACATGTACCATCAATTGTTCATCATACAATTTGGATCAGTTAAACTTTGTTCAAGCAGCGGAGCGAAAAAAATAAAAAATAAATACAAAAGTAAATTTGCTCCCGTTTGCACAAACAAAGTCCGATTTGCACAAAATTTAAATCCATTGTTCAGCTCCAGTGTCTAGGTCATTTGAAAGTGGAAATAATGAAATTTGCTCATTAGCGCCCCCTACAGACTATGTCAAAGTTTTACATTTTTCAAAATGTTTGAAATTTTGCACATAATTCTGTTTTGACCTCTGGATTCAAAAAGTCAATGACGACAAATACTTATTTTTTACCCTGTTGCCGTGGCGACGACAAACACTCCCCATTCTGTGTCTATGGGAAAATCGTTAAATCTCTGAAATGTACTCCTCGCTCAAACATCAAACAAGCCGCGGCCGTTTCACTAATTTGGCTGACAATCGCTCCACATCGTCTCAACACATGTACCATCAATAGCTGATCATAGAATTTGAATTAGTCAAATGGTCTGCGCGTGACAGACTCCCAAAGTGTGGTTATTTTCATAGAGAGGTTTGAAGTTCCCATGTTATCCAATGGAGACTGTATGGACACACTCACAGATTGTATGTGCAAACAGGAGCACATTTACAAACTCTGATTTGCACAAAACTTGACTCGGTTGTTCAACTCCTGGGCCTAGGTCACATGACAGTGTAAACAATGACCTATTAGCGCCCCCTACAAACTGAGTAAAGATTTTACATGGGGATGCAGGTATTTAGGTTTTCTGTTGTTTAATCTCATATATTCTCTCAGGTATAAAATGTATTATTTTGGTGTTTTTTGGTATGAGACAAAAAAATTGAAGTTCTAGGGGGCACTGTTGTGCAACATAAATGCCACCATTTGCACATTCAAAGTCCGATTTGTACAAAATTTGAATTGATTGTTTAACTCTCGGGTTTGGGTGAACTGAAAGTGTAAAACATGAAATTGCAGCATTAGCGCCCCCTTTAGACTGATTCAAGTGTTACGTGGGGAGAATGAGGTTTACCTTTTCAATAGAGACACACAATCACTGATCATAGGAATTCAAAATGCACAGTGTCGCTCCCATCAGGGTGGTAGGAAAATGGCGTGTCAGCGCCACCTCCTTTGCGTGGTGCGGCAAGGGCCGTTTGACGCCGCTTGCGGCTTTGATTTATCATTACATTTCTTGAGTTTGAACTGTTTAATTCTCTGATCTGTGTTGGCGAATCAACAGCTTTGTAAAGTTCTCTAAAATAACTACTGTTGTGATTTAGGGCAATACAAAAATAAACTGAATTGACTTTCCCGTGTGGTCCGTGTGAGAACGAGCACAAACCAGAGCACTGTTTCACCTGAAGATCACGTTCTCCATGTCGAAGGGGTACTCAATGATCCCGGTGGTGGGCACTCGCACCCGGAGGATATCCTGCAGATCGGGCAGATACGACGGCTGTGAGATTCGCTCCAGGTCGCTCAGGTAACTGCAGATACATTCACAAACACACATTATGCAACATTCAGTTATAGATATTTACCGTGTTACAACGACTTCCTCGTTTCTCTTGATTTGTTTTAGATCATAGCACAGTGCCACAGATACTAGTGTTTCACTTTTATATTCTTATTACTAATACTCCTTAATACTCGAAACTTTCCTCCACAGAACTATGAGCATTGACTTCATGGTTAGAAAAGCTGCACGATCAATTGCAATTTTAGTGGACGCAGTTAAGACAAAGACAGCAACTATTTAGTCCCTTGCAATAAATCTGCATAGAAGTGTTCATGAAATGTCTTAAATGTAGGTAAAAATATTTAGATTTTCTAATAATTTGACTTATTATTTTCCAATAAAACTCTTTTGCTTTATTCTAAACACTTGATAGTTTTACAAAGTAGAAACTGCAAAAAATATGGTTGTCCTACAGCTGAAACGTGTGTGTGTGATAGTGAGATTGTGTGATAGTCAGGTTGTGTGTGATTGTGTGTGTGTGTTCTCCTCACTATTTGGTGGAGTCAGACAGCTGGTATTCTCGGCGGCGCTCGTAGCTCTCCTGGACTCCTGCGTCCTGCCACAGACTCTTGATGAACTTGGCGTGTGCCGGGTCCAGCTCCTCCACTTTGTCCACCTCCACCCCCAGCACCGTGCCGGCGTTTGTCTGAGAGACAGAGATAAGTTTTATCAAAGTCTTTGATTATGTTCTGGAGTTGTTTTCCTTCTGATTTCTCACTGAAGTTGCTCTTAGTATTATTCAAGAATCGTTGCTTCGGTGATGGAAAGTAGCACGGTGCTTTTTAATGTAACTGCACATTGTCCTTAAAAAGTTAAAGTAAACTAAACTAAACTAAACTAATCGCCATTTGATTAGAACATCCACAGATTGTATGGAATGATCGCTCAGGAATTTTGGCACAGATGAAAACAATGCCACAGCTATAACCCACATTTCTTATTGAAGAATTGTTTATTTAGCCAGATTTGATCAATAGATCCAATTTACAAAGTCAACATTACAAACACATACATTTATTGCTGGAGCCACAGTCAGGGACAAACATAGGGACTACAGCGCATCGTGAGCTCTGCAGAGAAGGTGATTGGCCGCAGCCTTCCATCGCTGCAGGACCTGTACGTCGTAGTAGTAGTAGTAATCTTTATTTATATACCGCAGATCTGAGTCTCAAAGCGGTTTACAATTGTTAATTTTGGACATTTGTCTCTCACTCCACACAGAGATGGGAGCGGGGTCGCCAGTACAGGAGGCGCATGCCAGAACTATTGGACATATTTTTAGTGGTAGGGGAAACCTACGCAGACACGGGGAGAACATGCAAACTCCACACAGAAAGACCCTGGTCCGACCGGGATTCGAACCCAGGACCTTCTTGCTGAGAGGCGAGAGTGCTATCCACTCAGCCACAGCCGACCCCTCTCATCCTGCACATGGACTATTCCAATGGACTATTCCAACCACTCCCCTCAGGCAGGAGGCTGCGGTCCATCAGGACTAGAACCTCCCGCCACAAGAACAGTTTCTTCCCCTCTGCTGTTGGACTCTTGAACACTTCTTAACCTGTCCCCCCGCCCTTTATAAAGTCACGTTACTGCCCATCATACGTCACTTTACTTCACTGTACTGCTGTCACCTTACATTGTGTGCACCATGTGCACTTGTTTATTGTAAATAGTAACTGTAACTCTATTTTAAATTTAAATTTATTCCTTAGAAGTGTTTTTTATTCTATATTTTTATTATCTCTTTTTGACTGTTGCACTGAGCCAAAGCAATTTCCAAGTCTGTGACTTCCTGTTACTTACGTGGCAATAAAAATTATTCTGATTCTGATTATTGTTTCTTAAATGGTTACATGGATTTTATAGTGTGGTTTCAAAGTTTGGGACTCCAGCTTTAACCCTTTGCTTTCTTCAAGGAGTGAACAGTGTTTTGTTTTTTTTCTTTTCTAAGATGTAGGAGCACTAAGAACAAAACATTTTGTTTTTATTTTTTTTGAATTTTTTTGAATTTGTATTACAGACCTTCACCAAATGGTTGAGATGCAGTTTGATGGTAAAAGGGCCTAAAACCAAGTGATAGAGATAAAACAATGAGGCAAATTTCATCCAAGCTCCAAGTAGGTCTAGAGACTCAAAAGTGATCCAGAAGAGAGGAAACCATTAAAGGGTAAAATGAGCTGAAACCCACATGAGGACGAGGTGGTACCTGGTTCTGTGGGTCAGAGAAGGCGATGCCTAGAGCCTCCATGGCTCGGATCATGGCCTGCATGGACGTGTAGATGTTCTGAAACACCAGTTTGGCATAGCTGCGCTTGTCCTCGTCCGTGTAGCCGCCGCCGTGGATGATCCTCATCTGTTTGATGAAGGTGCTCTTCCCGCTCTCTCCGGTTCCTGCACATTCAGCCACAGCAGGAAGATGCTCGTTAGATTCACACTTTCAGAATATTACTGTAACTAAAATGTGAATAGTAAAAAAGTCATACAGCTGCTCTGAGGACTGAGACAGGAGCTTTTAACAGAAGGGGCAGAGTTACATGTCTGCCTAATATTATCGTGAATGTGTCTAAAAACAACTGCAGGTCTGTTTTTGATGAGGGAACAATGTTGTAACGTGGTTAAAAGCGTGAAACAGCTCCTGTGAGTCAGCACCACCATCTGCAGGTGACAGGGAACACATCCTCAATGCAAGTGATTTAAACATGTTGAAACGTGTATCTTTTTTACTAACAAATTTTTTAACTAACATAATATCTGATATCAGTGATCTGGATCATCTCCCAAATCTAGACATTTTTTCCTTGTCAACGCTTTTATGAAAACATTATAGAAACCATTGAGTTCTGGGCAGATGACCATCTAACTATGAGAATAGTATCACAACCATAGACTAATAACAACACAATGAAGTTCTGATTATTGGCCCTGCTTATGTTTATTTAAGAGTCAGTTGTTTGGGTTTTTATGAATATGATTTTTGAGTTTCACACATAAAGGAGTTCAGACTGAAGTATGAAAAGCTAAATGAGAGTTCTGATGTAATACTGTAACTACGAGGCATCAGGTGAGTGAGAGGTTGTGGGTGTGACCACAGGCCACAGGACCGTGTGTGTGCGCGCGCACAGAAACACATTTGTTAAACAAATATTGGCCAGAGTGTGGCTCCAATGAAGCCGCTGCGAGCAAATCCAACAAGGGCCACTAATGGTCTTTAATGTCGTGTGTATTTGTGACTTGCGGGTTTTTTGCATCATCTCCAACTCCAGATAAAGTGAGTGGTGGAAATAAAAACATACTGAACAGTGCAACTAAACCTCACAGACATTAGAAACGCTACACTGTGCCTTTTTCAGCAGAGTTCTTGTGACTGAGTTAATGGTTATTTGTTCATTCAGAGCTGCCTTTCATTCACAGCCGAGTGTCTTGCCCATGGGCACAGTGATATTCAGTGTCATTATAAAACCTCAGGAGATGAACTTCTAGATGTTCTATTGTTTTGCATGGCCTTCCTTCAGAAAGGCTCTGCTCTTGGAATGAACAAACAAACGCAGACAAATGAACTCATTTGAATGCACCTTGTTTCCAAGTCAAGTTTCTGAGTCCAAGACGAGCGACTCTCACGAAAACATGCAAATCAGAGACAGACGGCAGTCTGCAAAAGTATTCATACCAAAGATCATGTGAAAGACCATATCCTTTATATACAGTATACATATATATGTATATATTATACATAAATGTGTGTATTTATGCATATATATTGTAAATACCCATCATATTTAATATGTTATATGTTGACTTGCAGAAGTATTCAGCCCCCCTTTCTCTCAGTGGCACCATTGTCTTCTGCAGTTTCCTAATGTCTGATAAATGAAATGTTTAATATGAAGTATAGTTCTCTGAGTGTGTGGTAAGTGTAGTACTGCAGTTCTGTGATGCTGGTCCCTAAACAACACCATGTTCAGACAGGACAGGGCCAGGGTCGATGTTGTGGAGTTTAAAACATGGTTAGGTTATACTAACATTTCCCAATCTTTGAACATCTCACAGACCACTGTTTAATCTAATGCTCTGAAAAAAAAATGGTGTCTGCAGATTCCAGTGAAGCCAAAAAACATATAATCCAAACCCCTTCAGGCAAACTGCCTCCCTGCAGGCCCTGCTCTGACGCCTCTGTCCCGCTCATCCTTCCCTCACTGAGACCTGTCCTCCTCCTGGTGGCTCCTCCTCACAATATGACAGTGTGACAGTGAAGTTGATAACCTTTAGTGTGCAAACACACAGATTTTACCCCAAATCTAAAGCCCTGAGAACAACATGGCACAAGGAGACAGACTGACTCAACCTGTTCTCCGCTCTGTCCTCTGGGGCCAGTTTAATGATGTCCTCAGAGGAACACAGTCAGTGACTTTGATCGGACTAATGGTCTCAGCGAAAGTTCAGATATATCTCACGTCTACAAGGTTCTGGATCGCCGTATACGAGGACATGCTCCAGTTCCTGCTAATATGAATATCATTCTACAGGTCAAACCAACATGATCAGTCTGTGTGTGTCACACACAGACTGAGCCCATCACAGAGACGCCTGTCACTGCGCTCAGCCCCCGGCCCCAGTGCAGCTTTCATGTCTCATGCCACACCTGTGGGTGGGATGGATTGACTCAGAAAAGAAGTGCTCACTGAAACATATTTAGACTTGAGAACAATATCTAATAGAAATGAGACTAAATTGAGCATATATAAAGACAGTTTTCATTATTTTGAGGATAAACCCATGAATAATGAGAGAAAAACTAAAAGTGCTATGTCTATATTTTTATTCAGTGTAGAATTCCATTAAACCACTGGTGTTGGTGTAAAAATGTAATTCTGGTGGTTTCTTTATAGCTAACCCTGTGTGTGAGTTCTGGGCTCACTGCTCATTTGTGTAGGATTTGCATGAGGATGGTCACGGCTTTAAAGAGTCCATTTCCTCAAACACAAGGCCACGCAGCTCCAATAAAGAAAGGTTTATTTGGTTTCATTTTAAAATTCTGCGTCAAGAAGTTTGTTCCCCATTCCTTTTACAATAAAACTATAATAATGCATCGGTTTTATTTCACTCCATTAATAATGGTGATAAAGTATTACTGTAGCCACAGCTGCCCTGGGGCACACTGACCAGGCCCTGCTCTGCTTAGCTTCAGAGTTCTGCCAGGATCTGGCTTTCACATGCAGGTATAGCCACAGTATTGTGCGCTGACGCTCTGAGATGGGATGGATTTTCTTTCTGTCTTTTATTCCTTGTGCTTCAAATGTTTTATTCTTAGTTGTTTTGTGAAGTTTATAGTTATTTATTCAATGTTAAACTAACACATTTCAGGATTAGCGTGTAACGATGTTTCATTGTGGCGGAGTGGACAGCACTCTCACTTCTCAGCAAGAAGGTCCTGGGTTGGAAGAACAGGGCTTTTCTGAGTGGAGTCTGTGTAGGTTTCCCCAGGGTGCTCCGGTTTCCCCTACCACTAAAAACATGTACAGTATGTCTGCCATTCGCCCCCAGTATGGTGACCTGAGAGACAAATGTAAAGCGTTCTGTGACTCTGGTCTGTGAAAGGCGCTATATAAATAAAAAATACTTACTTAATTATCAATCCAACCTAATCTAAAACATGAGTTTTGTTAGAAAAGAACGTGTTTGGAGCCAAGAGAATGTCTGTGTGCTTCTGTCAGTGTAAAAGCTGAAAAGCTGTGGTGCTTTTTATTCCCAACAAAGTTTGAAAATGAGTCACTATGTGAGACTTTGTGCTGAGTGAGGGTGAACCTCTCTGTTTCACCTTTCTGTCTGAAAAAGCTGATCTAAAGACGTGAGTCCAAAAAAATGCATTCAAAGAGTAGTGAGTGTTTTGAGAGCGAGGAACAACGCATGTTAGGTACCTCAGCTGTAAGTGTACACTTCTAGTAGTTTTTGAAATTGCACAACTTTTAGACAGCGAAGTCCACTCACAAACATCTCAATATTCAGACTGTTGTCTGTTCTCAGTGTGTCTCACCGAGCAGCAGCAGTTTGAGCTCTCGTCTTGAGTCTCTCTTGTCCTTCCTCAGCTGCCTCTCGATCTCCTCGCTGATTCTCTGGTTCTCCCGATCCTCCGCAGAAACACAGCAGCCCGCCATGATCTCTCTTTGTCCACAGATGTGCCTTACTGTCCCCCGCGGTGGCCTCTCACTTCTAATGGAGAAAAAAAGTTAGAATTCAGGATTGTGGTCCTCATTTCATCCGACGGAAACCTGCATGAGACACGTTCGGAGCATTAACACGTGGATGGACTCTCAGTGAAGCTGTATTTTTTACCTCTAGAAACAAAATTACACAGATTATAAGTAGAATCACTCCCTGTGCAATGAGATATCACACTGTGAAATCAGCCTATTGATATAATGGAGGGTACACTGCAAAAAGTGAGGAAAATGTAGTCAAATTTGGCTAAATGCATCTCAATTTGAGCACATTGTGACTGCCTTAAAACAAGATTTGCCAATGGGACAAAGATACAAGAAATATCTCCCTTGGAATGAGAGAATAAAGCAACACTTCTGGAAACAAGACAAAATGGCTTTGTCCCATTGGAAAATCTTGTTTTAGGACTCATAATGAACTCGTAATAAAAACCACTCGATTCAGGCCATTATCATCTCATAGTTTATCATTTTTTTGCAGGATTTTACAAATGTATCAAATCTTGGGGTCTTAAATTGTGCTCTTTCATAGCAGAGAAAAATGTCACTGGAAATGAGATTTGGGGACCTGGAATAAACAATATAAACATATACATAAAAATTCTATATTATCTCTTTTGCTTTTGGACTTTATTTCACTCGTGCTCCATGCTCATCTCAGTGTGTTTGATTTGACGCTAAATCAGAGGTAATCTTTGACATTTCCAGCAGTTTAATGGTTTTATTTGATCAATCCGCTGTGTAATAAGAGGTCAACGCTGTGTCTGACCATTTTTAACACATTATTGCACATTTCAAGCCAAAACTGGATTAAAAAGTGACTTACCTCTAGTCAGAAATCTCCTCAAACAAGTGAAATATTCTCGGTCACATACATAAAATGGTGTAAAAAAAAGCCTACATCCAGAACAGTGAGTAAAGCGTAGCAGTGTTTCAGTACATCAGGACACATCAAGGTGTTGCATCCTGGTCACTGCTCTTGTTTCCTTTGTCCAGGTAAAGTTTTCTCTCGAGACAACTCTGTGAATAAAAAAAAAAAATGCAGTTTGATAGCAGGAAGAAGTGTGTGAGGCGTGGATAGTCCCCAGTGAGAGAGTCCACACCTGTGTCCTGTCTTATAGCAGCTGTGGGCGTGGCCTGGGCCCTGGACACATCACACAAACAGGAAGACGCATTCATACTAAGGCTCTCGCTGGTTTCAGTGAACACGAGACCTCCCAGAGCAGTCAATTTGACGGCTTTTAGTTTTGGAAGTGTAACTACTCATCCCATGTACATTCTCATCCTCAACTTTGGGACTTTTTCTGTTTTATAAGTAGACATATTACTATGTCAGTATTTGTTATGAAATTATCTTTTACTTATGAAACGTGAGTTGGTCTACCTTTGTTGGTCTACCACACAGAAACTTCTTTCAGTGTGGAGTTTGCATGTTCTCCTCGTACCTGTGTAGGTTTCCTCCAGTTGCTCGGGTTTCCCCTACCACTAAAAAAATCATTTACAATTGTAAAGCGCTTTGTGACTGGTCTAATCTATTTTCCACCAGAGAATATCAAGTGCTATAGTTACCATAGCAACACACTGTTTACTGTCAGAAGTTAGCTTTAGCCTTTTTTGTTGTATTTTAGTTACAGTTAAAATGACTAGTTTGAGCACTTATTAAAAGATAGTTAAGGTAAAAATTCTCAAAAATACTTTTCTTTTAATGGTGAAAAATGTTTTGACTTTTTCAGAACCCCATTGGTTTGAATGTGAGCAGTCAAAATGACGGCTTTGGGAGATCTAGCAGTTTCTGAATTCTGGGATTCCTGGTGTTAAAGGAGACATATGACAGAGGCAGCAGAATGACGAGCCATACTGTCATGTTGTTGTTTGGTTGTTTCAAAAAATAAATGATAGAGTTTTATAAATAAAGCCACAGTGGAATGTAAACAGGAAATACAGCAGAGATCTAAAACTAATGACATCACACTGGTGGCGCAGAGAAGCAAGAAGGTCGTGGGTTCGATTCCACCTTTGCATGTTCTCCCTGTGTCTCCGTAGGTTTCCTCCAGGTGCGCCGGTGTTGCATCACTTGCCGAGTTGAGCTCCCTCAGCTGTTTATGAGTAATGTAAACCTGCACATGCGCGTCTCACGGCAGCAAAAGCAATCCAAGACGGCGGACATGAAGTCTGTGAATTGTGTAAAACGTTTAAATACAAACAAATTAAGACACGAATGTCACTTTTATTGGAATTTGAAGCGAGATGTTTCCTGTTGTGATATGTGGATTTTAAGAGTCAAAGTTTTGTGTAAAGTTTGGTTTAAGCAGTCCACCGCTCCTAAACCACACTGCTGCTGTGTGAGAGCAACACCTTTCTTGTCGAGTTGAGCTGCGGCATCGTCATGCGCAGGTTTGCATTACATCATAAACAGCTGAGGCAGCTCAACTCGACAGAACTCCTGTTTCCCCTACGGTTGGTGTTGGTTGGGGTTTTGTAGGTCCATGGTTTTGATGCACCAGTGTGTTTGGCGAGAATGGAAAAACTGTACATTTTAAAACACTTTGTGTAAAATGTGCTATATAAATAAACATTACTTACTTACACTTCAAATTGATTAGATTCAAAAAGCCGCCATATTATTGTGTCTGAAAACCATTTCTACTGGCCAACATCATGTATATGTTTTAGGATTATTATCACCATTTCTAGACAATTTTATGAGTTTATATGTTTTGACAAAGAATAGTTTCTCGCTCTCAAAACGTTTTTGTTCTGTCACTATAGTTCTCACATGTATTGTTTTGCCTCTGTCACATCTTTAGATCAGCTTTTTCAGACAGAAAACTAAAGAAAAGAGAGGACCACACACACTCAACCAATCAGCTCTGAGCCCAAAGCATCAAATAGTGACTCCCAGGGTTCTTTCTGGCAAGAGGCAAAGATTTCTGCTAAAGAGAAGACTGCGTGTTGTGGTCTGACTTGTTCACGATACTTTTCATTTGTAAGACTCTTTCTGTCGGGACAAACATAAGAAAGGGTTCCCAGCTTCATATATAAAGTAATAATCATTATAATGAAATAAAATTGTGTGTAATTGCTTTTAACTCATTTTTCACCCTTTGTTTTGTTGTGACTTGATGTGTTTTGCCTGAACTGAAATGTACATCATATTTATGTTTTGACATTTAAATTGTTAAAACATATGGTGCCATTTAGCAAAAGATCTATGTAATATTAAAGTATAATACACATTTGGTAGCATTTTTTGCATGTGTACGATTAAAGAAAAAAAAAATTCATAAAGAAGAGATTATTAGACTAGACTGGTGTAAGTTTTTGTTGTGAAAATAAATTAGAAAAAACCCCACAAAATGTTCATTCTCCTCTTAAAAAAGTGAAACAACATTTTTTATCTCTCAAAAATGAATCAGCCATTAGACATACAATACAATTACATAGATACATATGTTTTCAATACTGCACATTCAATCTGCCAAAAAAGTAATGATTACAAAGCCAACAAGATGCTGCCATATATATAGATTTATATAGAGAGATGTATGTACAATGATTATAGCATTTATAATTGCACTATGCCTCAGTAAATGAAAATTACAGGCTTTTTATGTTCAAAAATGTAAAAAAACATAAAATCATTGGCTTACTTTGGTACAGACAGAAACTCATTTTGTGTAAGTACAAATGAGCCGCAGCGATGTCAAATACATGTGTAACGTTTCAGGTAAAGGGTCTGGCATCAGGCGTAGATCTCTGCAGAATCATGGCACTTTCTGATACTAGTGTGGGGGAAAAAAATAATCCCTTTTGTTGACTTGTATGAACATAGAAGACGATGTGGATTAGATTTCTATTCATGACTGCATTGGCTTCTGTTTTGGCATTTTTGGTGAAGACAATTCAGGCGCAGGTGGACATTTGTGAGCAATAGTTTTGGTTCTTGTGGGTATAGGACAAAACAGTGTCACTTGTTTCCTGCAAATGTGTTCCAATGTGGTTAAACTGTAAATAGCAACAAAAAATGAATCTGAATACATTTGCAACAATATTGAATGAGGATATATGAATGGACAGCAGAGGGCAGCACTGTACGAAACAAGGTGGCCCCAGACTATCAGCTCTGATTTGATTTTGTTAAAACCAATTACACATAATCAAGACAAATGTAATTTAGTAAACAAACTAGGGAAAGTTTAAAGTTTAAAAAATACTTTTAAATCATTAATTCACTGCACAAGTTTGAGGAGATTGTTTAGTAAGTGTATTTTTTTGCTATGTTTTTGAATATTCTAAAAATGTAAGATTGGCAAATATCAGGATTAAAAGGTGTTTCCTGTCAAATCAATTCTCAATTAAAGTTATTATCCATTTAAGACTGTCAACCTTATACTTCATTCTTGCTTCTTTATTTTGTTAAAGGGATATCTTTAACAGGATACTGTAATTAACAAGGACTATATACTTGCTTCTTTATTATGCTAAAGTTAAAGATTTATTTAATTGTATTTTAGTATAGAATTATCATTGATTTATCTTGTGCTGTGTGCTCCTCATTCCCACTGCTCTGTAACCAGAAATGTCCCCATTTTTGGGACAAACCAAGGATCTCTTAATCTTATTCTGCACTGGGTTATGTGGTTGAAGGACAAGGACACACTTCAGCTCTCCTGCTGTGGCCCCTGCTGTTAACGAGGTCTCCCATCACAGCACTAGCCTGGCCCTGCACTGCTTAGCTTCTGAAAGATGGCATTTCATTCAATTCCTTATGATTATGATCTATAATACTATACAGTGATGTTGTTTTGTTATTTATCCTGACAAAACAAAAAGGGGAACGATGGTGCTTTACTGATGGTGCTTTACTGATGGTGCTTTAGCGATGGTGCTTTAGCTGTGGTCCATGACGCCTGCAGACTGATCCTGTGTGTATGTCGCTGTGGGCGTGTACAGCCTAAAGGGGATTGTCTGCGCAACGGTGACTTGAACAAACCTGGTAGGAAACACCCTAATCAGCTCCCAAAAGGTTTCAAGAATATAACACATGATCCTAAATGATTCATTTTTGGGTCATTACATAACTATTCAAATAGAAATCCAGGGATACTGTACGGTATAATGGTAGATTATGCATGTGTGTTCTCAATGACTGACTGTAGCTATATTATAGACTGACTGCTAAATGAAGGAGCTCTCTGCCATTTATGTTTTATAAAAAAAAGCTCTCCAATCAGAAAAGGTTAGAGACCCCTTCCCTAAATAAAACTTCATTGGAAATGACAAGGAAACGATGAGAACCTGGTTAAAATCTGCTAAAAGTACAATTTTGACACCTTCGATACCATCGTGTGAAGTAATAAACATCGCCCTTTACCAGAAAAGTTACAACACTAATCGTTCCTAAAAAAGGATGAAGGGGCCGTGTTTGTGCAATGTTCATTGATTGGTTGATTAGAATAGAATACTTTAGTTAAAATACTAAATCCGCAATGATAGTTCCGTTGAAAATCGAAGTATAGCCCTGCGTTTTTCCTCCTGAATACTTTCCAAGTCGTAAACAGCACAAAAGTGGAGTTGACATTTTGGCATCGGCAATAAATACATACGACCAGAATAAAATGCAGTATGTGGCACAGTTTAAACAATTGTACACCAGCGTGTTCATAAATACACTTTTCAGTCAAAGTTTGTCTTAGCGTTTTAAGTATCGGCCGTCATTCGTTAGTCGCACAAACATGTGTCTCTAGGTGATTTAAAATGACTTTTCAGGATTTGGTTTCAGTAAAATTCAGTAGTTTTTGACTAGTTTAGTTCTATTGATGCACTGCTTTCATATTTGACTTAAAAGACAGTTTATCTACATTTATCTAGTCAAACAAGAACATTTTCTGATAATAATCTTGAATTGTCTTCAAACTAGGGAAATATTTTAGGTCACGTAAATCGGCCAAACCCGAATCCAAAAAACATACCTAGAACAACCTGAATTTGTCATTTTAAGCTCGACTAGAAATTCAGTTTTTCTTCAGCGCAACCGTGTGCTTCAAGGCTCTGCGCGACAAATGTACCAAAGTTCAGAAATGTAATCAACAAGAAATCATTAAGAAATAATTTAAAAATCACAGTTTCTGTCTAGTAATCGCTGCTCTCCGATCGGTCCGTTCTATAGAGTTGTCGGCGATGGGACGACACAGGAAAGACTTGTAGAAAAGAAGGCGATGGGAGTATGAGGAGCCGGGGTTTTGTACCCAAAACCCACCCTCGACATCAAGAGTTTGAGCCGCGGGGCGCTCCTGGAGGCCTGCGGGCGCCGTGATGTGCTGGTGTCTAGACCAGGTTGTACTCTTTGAGGTTGAGCTGCAGGATGGTGTCTTTGACCGCGGCGAACACAAAGCGGATGTTCTCGGTGTCGGTGGCGCAGGTGAAGTGGGAGTAGATGATTTTGTCGCTGTCCGGGTTCAGGTCCACAAACATCTTGAGGATGAACTCACGCGCGGCCTGGGCGTCTCGCTGCGGGCCTGCAGAGGGAGGGGCATCAAACGGACACAACAGATTCAGTACTTTATCACATACCCCTGAGTAACATGGACATTGGTCATCTGCCCCTGATGGACCAATGACTCCATGTGTTAATATCAATGCATTTCTCGTGTTCAAAGTGTTGATTCTTTGATCTGTGTTGGCGAGTTCAACGGTTTCGTGAAACCCTTACAAGATAACTACAGTTGTGGTATTTTTTGTTTAAGTAATGATGATAATAATACATAGTATTTATAGAGCACTTTTCTTGACCCTCAAAAACACACCAGGGGCTTTCACTATCGTAGAACTACCATTTTGTAAATGGTGGCAAAACAAGACCATTTCTAGACTATTTGGGTGAAGTGTGTTGCCTAAGAGCACAACCACAGTTTGGCACTTTACAGCCACCCCACTGTGGCACCTGCTGTTCCCAGAGGTCTCCCATCACAGTATTAACCAGACCCTGTCCTGCTTAACTTTTTAAGTCAATTACTTAAATATTACGTACTGTAATTAATACTCTAGTACTGTCCTCGTCCTCGTTGGAACAGGCTACTATGGCTTGTTATACATCGTTTTAAAAGCTACTTTTCTTATAAAAACTAATACATATACATATATTCTTAATATAGCCTCATGCAGCTCTTTGGCTGGTTCCATGTGGCTCCCGAGCTTTCACATGACAAGCGTCAAAATCGCCTCGGCGGTGGCGCCGCCATTTGTGGGCTTGGCTCTGGTTTTAGCCGGGTCGAGTGGATACCAAAACAATCTGACGTCTACAAACGTCAATTGTGATTGGTCAGAGGCGCTGTGAATCACTTTTTAGCTGCTGCATTAGCTGTTAGGAAAATCATAACAAACAACAGGTTGCCTCAACCCATGAAGATGTCCGAACGGAAAACAATTCCTTGGTCGCTGGATGAGGGCAACATCTTCCTCAGTTTGAGGAGTGGACCAGCATGAGCTCGATGTTGCCACCAGAAACCAGTAGGTGTTTGTGAAAGTAGCGCTAAGGACGAAGCCGAATGATATCCACGGACATCACAGTGCAGAGAAAAGTTAAGAAGCTTAAAAGTGAAATGAAAGATCACAACAGCAAAAGTAGTGGCAGAACCGAAAGGTCTGTAGGTGGTTTAATCAGATGGATACAATTTATAGACATTGGCTAGCACCAGTTAAACCAGGAGCGGGGTTGGGAGTAGAGTTTCGTTCGGGCCTGAAAAATGAAGCCCGACCCGGCCCGAGCCCGCTAATGTTAAGCCTGAGCCCGTATAAGCCCAACCAATGAAAGCTGTATAACAGGCCCGAGCCCGACAGAACCCGACACATCTGATTTCCCGTTGTACGCACTCACCTTCCAATTGCAAGTTTAGTCTCCACTTTTGAATTTGTTTTGTCTCCACTTGATCCATTTCTACTATTGTTCCTGTTCGCTGTTGACCACAGCATGCAGCAGGAGACACGGGGATGATGCGTTCACGGCTCGCTGCTGCTGTAGGACACGCCGGTTACGGTGTCATTAATATATTCACTTTTTTTAATAACTTGTTGTCAATCAACGGATATTGTTATTAATATATATATATATATATATATATATATGCATATCATTATGTATAAATATCATTTAAAAATAATTATAATAATAATAAGAAAGAAACATATATTTAAAAAAAGAAGCCCGAGCCCGGCACGAACCCGACAGCTGAGCGCCAAATGAGGCCCGAGCCCGGCCCGAACTCAGGTCGGGCCTCGGGCCTGCTCAGGCTCGGGCTGAAAAGCGAAACTCTAGTTGGGAGCGGGGTCGCCAGTACAGAAGGCGCATGCCAGATCTATTGTACATGTTTTATAGTGGTTGGGGGAACCGGAGTACCCGGAGGAAACCTACGCAGACACGGGGAGAACATGCAAACTCCACTCAGAATGGCCCTGGTCCGACCGGAATTCGAAACCAGGACCTTCTTGCTGAGAGGCGAGAGTGCTATCCACTCAGCCACCGTACCGCCATGTTGATGGTTCAATGAAGACAGTCGTTGTGTTATATGCTGAATACTGGGTTGAAACTGTTCTTGGTTAGATATTTAAAGCACTCGATCTGAATCAGAATTGACGTTTGCCAACGTCAGATTGTTTTGGAATATACTCGGTACGGCTAGAACCAGGGCCAAGCCGTTTCTAGAAAAGTACTGGGTAGCGGCTAAAGCGAGCCGGTGGAAACGCCCACAAACCGGGGAGAGTCGAGTGTGTGGGATGATGTTTATGTGTGCCCATTTGTATGATGTGGCTCTTTGCAGTAACACAGTAAAAAAAAAAAAAAGAATCTTGCTCTCTGACTGGTTGGCCACCCCTGGTCTAGAAGGAAACCGTTAGATTTAAAATAAAAATAAAAACAACAACCTTTGACCTATTGCTGGCTGAGTTTTGTTTCAATCTAAAACAATAAACTCATTTTGTTCTATGACATGATCGAAATTCATGCAAAATAATGTATTATTATCTTTTATGAAATGAAATAATAATATAAGAATACCACTTTGGCCCCTGACCAGCTCTTATTAATTTGATCAGTGACAAAAATGACTTTGTCACTGGTCGACTGGACATTCTAAACAAACACGTACCGTCGTACTCGGGGAAATAATCCACCAGGTGAGAATACATGATCTTCTCCTCCAGAAGGTCCTTCTTGTTGAGGAACAGAATCACAGACGAGTTCTGGAACCAGGGGTAAGTGATGATGGTCCTGAAGAGCGCCTTGCTCTCCTCCATGCGGTTCTACACAAAACACAGAATATGATCAAACACTCAGAACCATGAGAACCATCCAGGCCACAAGACGTGAGCCGCACAAAGCATACACACAAGTCTCTTCTATGCAAGAACGTACAGCTGTGCTTCTGCAGGACCAGTATCCAAAGGTTTTATAATCAACTTTGCAGTCCACATTTCCCTAACGCCAATAAATCCAGAAGCATTACAGTTTGAGAACAGACTGACATGTAAACAGACTTTTATATGGCTATAACTTTTCAAACTACAAAATATCCACAATCTAAACCCATGTTAAGGATGCACAAAAGTCTAAATGTCCGTGGTCGCAATTATTGAAGTGATTTAAAAATACCTTAAATTAGATATTTCTAAAACTTAAAGGATATCAAAATCAATCGCATCACAATGTTGTTGTTGAAATACTGCCAAAATGGTGCTGCCCTATCCTGACTTATCAAGACTGTGAGAAAGGATTCTATTGTATAAAGTACATGATTGTCCAGTGGAGGTCAGCAAAGAGGGATTTCTCATGAATGAATGACACAAAGACTAACCCTGTACAGAAGAAGGAACAGGACCCAGGAGAATAGTTTTACCTCATTGTCGGACTCCACCAGCACCTGGTCGTATTCACTCAGAGCCACCAGGAACATGATGGACGTGACATTCTCAAAGCAGTGGATCCACTTCCTCCTCTCGGACCGCTGACCGCCCACGTCCACCATCCTGTCAGTGACAAGAGCGGGAAAAGTTCGGGTTCAGTAAGTTCCAGGGAAACAAAACCATGGAGCAGCTGTGGGGCATTGTGTAAACCAAATAAAATGCATTTAAAAAGTTTAACCTGGAGTTTTTATCTGTCCTAGAAGTAGAGATAGTACAGCACTAACTTTAGTCTAGGTCGGTGCAGTAAATACTCGCAAACACACATGTATTCAACCCTTACCTATTGTTCACGTTTTTAGTGATAGGGTAAACGTGAGCACCCGGAGGAAACCTATGCAGACATGGGGAGAACATGCAAAACTCCACACTGAAAGGCCCCAAAACAGAAAGTTTTTCCTATGTGCTACAAAACTACAATTTGTGTACCACTTGTATATGATTGTTCATTAATGTGTGTTGTTCCAATCAAATAAACATAAATAAATGCATAAAAATTGGTTGAATTCAGTAAATCGAGGAATGGTTTGTCGACCCATCACAGACTAAAGAACCCAGAGGAGATGGTTTTAACACTCTCCTTATATCTTATAATCTTTGTGGCTCTGGTCCAATGTATTTAGACATTTTCCCTGACCGTTGGTGATCCAAACTAGGGCTGAAAGATGTTGGCAAAAGTTTCATAAAAGATTTCTCTGATCAACATTGGCTTTTTCAAAATAATTATTCATGTATATAGAGAATAATTTAAAAAGTTGACGAAAGTTCCATTTAAAAAGCGTAATGCAAATGCTTCAGAAAAATCTTTTTTTTCCTCAAAGAAATTTATGATTCACTGAAAAAACATGAAATATATTGAAAAGCCAAAATCAAAAGTCATTTTGATCTTTGCACAACTTGGGTCTGACTATAATTGTGTGAGAAGATGAAAGATACTTGTTCCATTGACAAAGACATTCTAATTTTAAGTAATTTTGTGTTTTGTTAGTACCTTTTTTTGCTAAAAACTTATTATTTCTAGTCTTTGCGATAGTGACCACAACAATTCCGATTCCGTCAGTGGAAACCCTTGTGGTACCTGAAGATGACGCTCTGGAGGTCGAAGGGGTACTCGATGATGCCGGTGGTGGGCACTCGGACCCTGAGGACGTCCTGCTGAGTGGGCAGGTACCCGGGCAGTGAGATCCGGTCCAGAGCGTTCAGGTAACTGCAGGACGAGATCAAGAAAAAGCAGCTTCAGCAGGATGTATGTGAAGTATATGCAGCCACTGGGGGGCGCTGTTCTCAAGCGCAAACTATCACTTTACCCACAGTATAGGACAGGGGTCTCCAACCTTTTTCAATCGGAGAGCTACTTTTATACAAACAAACAGGCAGAGAGCTACTCCTTTTTGCAGTTGTAATAAAAGTTGATCTAATAATTACGACCCAACTCAGGGAACACATATAAAATACACATAATACTGTATAACCCTATATTTATACATATAATAGATATGTAATGGGTCAAAAGGTATTCTTTGAGGTGTATTTGTTAAATTCTAATTTCTTTGGCAAGCTGTAAGGGGCTGGCGAGCTACTGGTGGCTCCCGAGCTACAGGTTGGAGACCCCTGGTATAGGAGGATCTTGAAGTGACCATTTATAGTTTTTCCGCGCCGGTCACGTGACTGTGTGGCAAGACAGCATGAGAAAGCTACCTGGACGCTGGAGAGTTAGCTATTTTTAGATGTTTGGAGAGAGGTTTTTCTAAACCAAATGGTCCATTCTTGTTGTGTGGTCGGTTGGATTATCACCACGGATAATCCATGGGACCCTTCTTGAGTGAAGGGTTTTCTATGAAGTAAGAAAAAATGTCTCGGAGTCCCAGTCCCAGCAGATCGGTGCCAAGACAGAGGTGAGTCTGACCAATGTTTCTTCTCGTCATCCCAGGTCTCATATGGGCTTTGGATTTGTTCAGTTCGGTCTCCTCTGATCGTCGCATCCATGCTTCAGTATGCGCCGCTCTGTTGTGTTGCCACCCGGCGAGGGGCGCATGCGCACGCGGGTGTAAACAAAGATCCTCATATAGAAAACGTTGTGAGTGAGAGGAAGTGTGGAGAGGAGGGTCTGCCTCAGTAACAGTTTAACACCATTTGAATACTGTTTTTACAGCCATTCTTTTGACTCATGTCTTTTAGAATTATTGTGAATTTATTGTTTTTCAATGCAAAAAAACTAAATTCATGTATGTATTTGAATTATGTTTATGGGGTGGGAGTCAACAAGTTTTTACTTCTTTCCCACTCTATTTTGAGCTGACAAATTGAAATAGAAATGGATTTGTAAATAAATTCTATCTATACAACACATGGTGAAACTAGAGCATATACGGGCGGCACGGTGGCTGAGTGGATAGCACTCTCGCCTCTCAGCAAGAAGGTCCTGGGTTCGAATCCCAGCCGGACCAGGGCCTTTCTGAGTGGAGTATGCATGTTCTCCCTGTGTCTGCGTAGGTTTCCTCCGGGTACTCCGGTTTCCCCTACCACTAAAAATATGTACAATAGGTCTGGCATGCGCCTCCTGTTTGGCGACCCCCCTCCCACCTCTGTGTGGAGTGAGAGGACAAGTGCCCAAAAAATAACAATTGTAAACCGCTTTGTGACTCTGGTCTGTGAAAGGCGGTATATAAATAAAGCTTACTTACTTACTACTATACTGCTGCTTGATTGTATTGTATGTATTGTATGTATTGTATGTATTAGGGCTGTCAAAAAATATTTTTTTAAATAAAAAATGTATTACTGTAAATGGTTGTTTTAACGAAAAGATAACGGACAACATAGTGTACATTATGTACTCCATCCATCCATCAATCATCCATTTTCTTCCCCTTAATCCATTTCTGGGTCGGGCCAGTCAGAGCTGCACCCAGTACACAGAGCACCAGCCCCTCACTGATCCTCCTGCAGGTGGTGAGTCCACAAGAGCTGAGATCTTTCAGCCACACTTATTGTGAATCAATTTCACGTGCAGTTGTGGAAATTAAACAGACAACAGGTGGAAATGAGGCAATTAGCAAGATCACTCCAAAAGAGGAATGGTTTTGCCCATAGACATATATAGAATAGACGCCGCATCTACCGCTACTGTCCATCGGCGCCGACGAGCCGTAGCGCCGCCATCTTGGACCGGTCGCCCGCTCCTCTCAGAGTAATCTGTTTAGCAGGCGCAGTGACGAGTCAGCGCATTTAATCAATCATAACTCGCTGAATACTTCACTGATTTTCACACTTTTTTTTTACTGTAAACCACACACATGTAGCTATGACACAGGACACATGGTTTGGCGTATGTTAATATTCATAGTGGGTTTAACAGTAATAGAATATTTTGATATATGTGATGTATGACAGGAATTTTGCATAATACACAATGTTGTATCTATACACTACTCACAAAATGTTAGGGACATTTATTCAACAAGTGAACATACATACATACATACAAATGTATATATATATGTTATATATATATATATATATATATTATATATATATATATATATATATATATATACACACATATATATATACACACACATATATATATATATGTATATACACACATATATATACATACATATATATATAAACATATATACACACATATATATATATATATATATATATATGTATATACACACATATACATACATATATATATATATAAATATATATATATATATATATATATATATGTGTGTATATACATATATATATATACATACATATATATATGGAGAAACATAGTACTTGAAAAGAAATTATATATATATTTGTAATATGTTATAACATATATATTATATAATAGAATAGAATATATTAGTGCTGACAGCCTTATGGTGATAAACCTACTCTTTGGAGATGAACCGGGAAGCTGAAGATGGATGGAACAACACCATCTCTGAGTCGGATAATCTGACCTGTCCTGTCCAAATCTTCCTGCTTAAAATGCTCACTGCAAAGCACGGATGAATCACTTGCAGTGAATCTTTCCCTCCTCATAGCCACTTCCCACTTCTTCCTACCATTTCTGTCTCTGGGAAACCTTCAAAATGTAAATACATGAATAAAACAACAAAAATATATATATATATATTACCATAATTCCTATTATTCCTAATTACTTCTTCCCATTTTCCTCCTTCAAATATAGAACATCTCTTCAACAAAACTCGCATTTTGATAATGAACCAAAGCTGCTGTAAGTTAGCTTGTTTGCTATTCAATAGATGTTCTGTATCTGATTTCGTTGGTGACATAAATACAATTCAGTAATATTCCATTAACAAACTAGTACAACCAATAATAATGTTAAATCTTACTTGTGAAAAGTAATCCCACGAGCCCTGTTTTGAATAGTCCGCCTATTTTGACAGCCATACGCCGCACAGTGTTCAGGCATCGCGCTGTATGATGACCGGTACAAGATGGCGGCCGTATTTCTCGTGCCCGAGCAACCAATGCGGCGTCTATTCTATATATGTCTATGGTTTTGCCATTACCATTTCCCCGTCTTCATCCTTAGTACCGTATTTTTGGGACACTTTTGCATTTGTCCAGTGTTCTCACCACTAGAGGTATCAGGAGGAGGCATCTACAACCCACAGAAGTTGCTCAGGGAGTGATGCTCATCTAAAATGGCATTTGCCATTTTTTTTAATTTACTGGTCCTAGATCATATAAAACAGGCTTCTCCAGTTGGGGATAACCACCAGCTTGTAGAAGTGACTCACTATTTGGTGGAGTCGGAGAGCTGGTACTCCCTCCGCCGGTCGTAGCTCTCCTGGATTCCCGGATCGTTCCATAAACTCTTGATGGCGTCGACGTACGGATTCTCAAACATGGACACCTTCTCCACGTCCACGTCCCGCACAATGTTTGCATTGGCCTGAAAGAAAACCATCCATCGTTAACACAGGAAGGGCCATGCACTGTTTCCCAACCAGGGGTATGGGGACGTTTCCTGGCACTTTAGGCTGTGTATTAGGAGTGGACTGACTGAGTTCTGACATTACCATAGTGTTTGACGAATGTGAAAGAGGCTGAATCAAACATAAACTAGCTGGAGTTTAAGTCCTTGTATGGGCATTTGTGACAAAGACCTACGCGCTGTAGCAGGGGCAGATGCAAACTAACTTGTTGCTAAGATGGCTGCTAAGGCAAGTTGGAGTTTCCCGACGAGTGAAGGCATCTGATTGGTAAATCCTTTCGGCTTTTACCTGGATTTACAAAGAAAATATCAAATTATATCAAATCTATTGCCACCAGGATCATAGAGAGCATTAAAGCAAGGATCACCATTTGGCACAAAATGGTGAGTTTACTTTCGATCACTTTACTTTATCGTTAGGCAGTTTTTTCAGAGTTTTGTGTGACAAAGCTGTGAAACTTTATAAAAGGACGGTGGACAACTACTGAAATCCATAACAGATATAAAATACAAGGTATAGGTGATATCAGAAAATATTGGGAAATGTTCGAGGAACTCATGCAGAATATCTTTGATGCTTAAAAGGTTTAAACATCTTAATTTATTTCGCACTTGAACAATCTTATACCAATTGTGTAAAACATGATTGACAATATACTGTATGTCTTTCATGAATTGTTGTTTTGTTTTAGTTTTGTCTTTAAACGTTTGTCTGCGTTTTGTTCTCTATCTTTTACCATATTGACCTCGAGTTTGAAAAACGATTGAATATGAGCCAGTTGATTTAATCGTTGCAGCTGTAGCTGTGAAAAAGTCCTTTCTTGTGTTTTCTTCAGTTCACACAGATTCAAACCACTACACAGAGCAGCAGTGGCGCTGCCCTTCACTCATTAAAAAAGCCAATTAACCGATCTGCAGTAGATTACGCTCATGTGGTTCTAGTTGTGGAGCGTTTTGTGTCAGGTTTGTGCGTTCGCCCCGAGGCTTTGCAGTTTCAGTCCACAGAGACCAAACATGGGAAACTTTGTCTGTCCCAGATTGGGGCCAAATATCAGGCTCAGTTTCAAGTTTATCAGTCTCAAATACAGAGCAGCATAAAATAATCTATCAGTGATTAGACGTAAAAGATGTATCGTCTGTTTTTAAATATCACACATTAGCCTTGACCTCTTCCCATCCGACCGATAAGCTTCCATGGCGTGTTATTTTATCACAACCACATGTCAATGTTTTAGCAAGTGTAATAAGTCTCCAGTATTAAGTTAGTACTATAGGACTGCACAATTTATCGTCATTACAATAATGGGAAGTCCAGACAATGATGTGAATAAGTGATCATTATTGTGACCCCCCTGAAAGTGTCATTGGTCAGAGTGAGCGCACAAACTCACGTGGACAATAGATCCAGGTGAAAACAAGATCAGTGAAAAATCGGTTCCTAAAAACACTACAGTTCTGAAACGTGGCACTTTACGTGGGCTTGGCGGGATCCCCCCTTAGCAGAGGTGGAAGGTCTTGCGGCTCGGCCTCACTGTTCTCCGCTGCCCTCTCGGAGGTTCCTCCCTCACAGTCTTTGCACCATTAACCTCACCTCTGGCACAAGTGGCTTTTTCTCCCCCTCCATGTTCTTCTGTTGTGGATATTTACTAGGGCTGGGCGTTATGGCTGAAAACTATATCACAATATAATACATATCGGTCAATATCGATAATTTTTGATAGTTTTTATGTTTTGTTTTTAAACCTAAATAAATTAATCTCGCCTTTACTTCTTGTGTTTTCTTCCTGTTTTTTCCAGCGGAGTTAAGTTAAACTATCGAACATCAACCCCATAACGTAACTTGATTTTGATTGGCGCTATCGTAATCTCTGGGACAATATGACAAATTTTATTGAATATATATATATATATATATCATATTTTTATCAGACTCTTCTCCAAACACAATGTAACAAGTAGTCTTATTGAATCAAATCAAATGCAAAAGAAATATTTAAGGGCTGTATATTTGTTCAATATATTTTTTTTTTCCATCTCGCAACCCACCTTGCTCACTATAGAGAGTGATACAGACTTTAACCCAAACTTGATGCAATAATTAAAACAGAAAATATCCCCCATTGCCAATGAAATTCAATCATCTCCACAAGAACCCGGCGCAGTAGATGCTTGTTATGGCAGCAATGCCACTCACACACACAATGAGCAGTGTGTTTGAGAGAAGGTCTTTCTGAACCCTTTTAAAACTATGTTGACATCTTGGAGAAAAAAACATGGTGTATGTAAATGTTTATACTGATTATACTCTGCTTTGCCTGGAGCACTTTAAATGCCATGTAATGTTGAGAATTTGATCCTTGTGTGCTGCTGCCACCCGCCCAGGGCACGCTTGTAAGTTTAGTCTCAATGAGTTTTTAACATGGTTTGATAAAAGGCCAATTAACTGCATGCACACGCTAACACGCCAACAGAAGCACAGAGCTCCTTGTTGTGTTCACTATTGCACATGTGTCTTGTAATGAAATGTTGTGCAGTATTTGAATCCTTACCTTGTTGTGTTCATATTTGTATGGGATCTTGAGGGTCTCCGTGGCTCGGATCATGGCCTGCATGGAGGTGAAGATGTTCTGATAGACCAGTTTGGTGAAACTGCGCTTGTCCTCGTCTGAGTATCCGGCTCCGTGGATGATCCGCATCTGTTTGATGAACGTGCTCTTCCCGCTCTCTCCAGTGCCTGAAGAGAAAACGTTTCAAATGTGAAGCAACCAACTTCATTGTTCATAAAACATTAAAAGAAACCTGCGGATATCGCCGTCACAGCGTGTACGAATCCAGAGCAAAGTGTCTCTTCGTCATTTTTTTTCATGGAAGATACAGTACTTCTGTCTTCTGCCCCCAATGGACCAATGGCTCTATGTGTTTTTTTTATCATTGATTCTCTGATCTGTGTTGGCAAATTCAACAATTTTGTAAAGTCCTCAGAACTAAATACTGTTGTAATTTTGGGCGATACAAAAATAAATTGAATTTAATTGAGTACATAGTGGACTATTAAGTGCACCTGTATACACAACGCACCCACATTTAAAACAAAAAATTTAAGTACATTTTGTCCACATATACAGTACTTATATATAGCCGCACTTGAATATTAGCTGCAGCTTTTCATGTTCTAATGTAACACTTACCCAACTGTTGACTGGTGAGGATCAAAGCATTCTGGTCATTTCAATCTATTTTGACAATAAGCATGGCATCCCGACTAATACTTAAGTTCGTGCTCTACCAATCAAAATAATTCTTGTGTATTTCCCTGCATTTCCTTGTGTCATTTCTCTCAGTCAAAGCTCCTGTGGACTCACCACCTGCAGGAGGATCAGTGAGGGGCTGGTGCTATGTGTACTGGGTGCAGCTCTGACTGCCACCCCCCCGACCCAGAAATGGATTAAGGGGAAGAAAATGGATGGATGGATCTCTCTCAGCTGTTCACATAAACACATTGGGAAGCAGGATTAGCATTATCAGCTCTAGAGATCAACAGTTGATAAAGGAGGGAATTTAGACACTAATAAAATACATTGGCTGTACGGCAATATGGGGTTGTAATAGTAAAAAAAAGAAAAATGGGTTTATAGTCCGATAATTATGGTAACTTGCCATGTTTCATCTTAGTGTATACTTATTTTGAGTTCAATGTACAAGAAGAAAAAACTTTATTTAGTTTCTTAATAACTTATAGTTTTAAACAGTTTACCTCCTGCAGCAGAGACCAAACTGCAGATTGGATGAAAGGATTCTCAACTTGACACAAACATATTTAAATGTTCTACTAATGCAGCTGAGATGAAATGAGACGTGAATGAGGAGGCATCTTTATGACTTCCTTTGTGTAGAATGCTCCAAGAAAATCGGCAGCGGTGGACTTTGGGAGCACTATCAGACCATATGTGAACAGTCTTCCGCCAGTCAATAAAAACAACATTCATGGTGGTCGTAGCACATTATGGAACTACTATTAGTAAATCTATAGAAAAATCACTTACTGGAGGCAAATATTCTTTTCTTATTCGGTATAAAACTGTTTTAGCTGCAGTCAAATCTCCTGTTTAATATAGATAGATAGTAGGAGAAAGGCTTTGTCAGACACAAGGACAGTTTTCTAGTCGACATAAAATGTGCATTGTGAACAACTTGGCCGTGTGTAAAAAAACATACAAATAAAATGTACAACTGTATTTAGATCTGGTTATTTTACCTCAATATTTAGAGAAAAAAAATCAGTGTATATCTAATCCTCCGGTGCAAATCTCTACTATTGAAAAACATAATATTTCTGACTGTATAAATGGTGTAAATGATGAGGTCATGAAACCCTTTTGAAAATATATGTTTGTATTATTGATTCAACTTGGGAACGCTTTTGAAATCGTGAAATCAAAAGTCAAAAGCCGTGTGTTGATGGTGAAGTTTGGGTGGTCCACCAAAACATTATATTTTATCAAGTTTGTATCAAGTTCAATTCCATTCAATTTCAATTCAACAGTTGTTGATTCGCCAAGACAGATCAGAGAATCAAACATTTTGGACACAAGTAATGCAATGATAACCAACAAGGAACGACTCAAATGAAACCTTATATTGTCAAAACCGAAGATCAAAATGAAAAATCCAAGACTGTGAACAAAAGGGGACACTTGGAGTAAAGTAGGTCCGATGGCACCAGAGGATAGTGTGCTACTTTAGTAATTAAGTTATTTCCAGTTAATTCAGATTGAGGTAAACGGGATAATTGTTTGATAATTGATATGTTCAAAACCTCAATAGTAGATGATAGGATGAAGCTATTAATACATTTTAATCCCAGATGGCATCGTTTAGCATGGATATGAGTTCTCCCATTTTCACTCGTAAGGAGAGAGAGATATAAGTGCAATTTCAAGCTGGAGTTTCCCCGTGAATGAAAGCATCAGATTTTTCAACCCTCAGGGCTCATATCTGGATTCACAAAGACAATATCAAAATAAAAACCCAGGACCCTAGAGAGCACTAAACCACCAAATTGGCAGGTGTGACAACAACAGTTACTGAGTTAGAGGAGTTTATTTTATCAATGCAAGTCAATGCGAGCCAGAGCAAGTTGGAGCAAATCTTAGTTCATGAGCTCTTTCCCATTGGGCTTTAGCTAGGGGGTTTGCATTTTCCATCTATATTCTGTATATGGGAAGACCAAAACTCAACCCAAAACAAGGAAAAACACACACAGCAAGAACCGGACCGACAAGGGATCGAACCCACAACTCCAATATTGGCACCACTTTAGTCAGTAGTTGTCAGGCCCTCTCTCTCTCTCATTCTTGTGAAACGTTGCCAACTCGACAGGAACCCAGACCATAACTCTGCCAACACAGGTTTGAAGAGTGGGCAGTAGGCATGATCACTTCAAAGCTCCTTCTTACACTGAAGAATATGGGCCATTTAAAAATAAAAAAGTGATTACAATTTATGAAATGGAAAATTGGATTTGACATTAGCGACATTGGCGACAGTAGCTCAGTTGGTAGAGCATTGGCCTTTGGGCCTGAAGGTTGTGGGTTCGAGCCCACCACAAGACCTTCTTCACGACTCCCACTGATGACTGCTGTCGTTGTGTCCTTGGGCAAGACACTTAACCCCACTTTTCCTGAAGCTCCCACTGAAAGATCTCAGCTCCTGTGGACTCACCACCTGCAGGAGGATCAGTGAGGGGCTGGTGCTCTGTGTACTGGGTGCAGCTCTGACTGCCACCCCCCCAACCCAGAAATGGATTAAGGGGAAGAAGATGGATGGATGGATGGATGGATTTGACATTTAGTTTTTAGTCATGTAAAATGCAAGACAGAGTCCATCTCTTCCCTCATGAGCCCCGTTTCCACCAGCTCTGCTCTGCTCTACTCTACTTGGCTCTACCTGTTACCAGGCATTTCCATTTCTTTACGTTTTAGTGTCTGGTACCATATCCTTGCAACCTCCCCACAACAAGCCAGTATCACGGTACATTTCTTGGTAACTTTCACACTCTGGCCAATCTTGGCTAAGTTAGAACACTTTAGTACCAACTCGGCTTGATAAGAACCAGGGCCATGCAGGTACTAAAAAAGTACCTGGTAACGGCTAAACACAGGGCCGGTGGAAACACTCCCAATCGGGGTAGAGTAACAGCTTCAGTGGTGTATTTATTGCATGCACAGGTTATGCAAAGAGAGGCACACAACAAGCAGAGAATAGTTCTGTGGCCGTGTTCACCGTGTTGTTGTCAAAGCGGCTCATAGCAGTTAGAGGTGGGAACCACTGTCCAGAGCGGCCACAGCTGCCCCGAGTCAGAATGCTGTGGCCATGGAGGATGCGGACTACCGTTTGAGTACATACAGGAAAATACAGCAAGAGCCCCGCGGTCACGCGCATATTATTATTTTTTACCTTAATTCCCAAAGGGCATAATTTTTATCATGATTAATGAAAAAAATTCATTAACGTTTGTTAAAGCGATAACTTAGACAGCCCTAGCTTGAACTGTTTGTTTCTCTGATCAGTGTGGGCGAATTCAACAGTTGTGTAAAGTCCTCCGAGGTAACCAAACAAGGATTTTTGGATGTGTTTGAGAAGGCTTTATCACTCTCTTGGGAAACATTTTCGAAAACCACTTTGACTAAATAAGACAATGTACAGTGTGTGTGGAGACTTCCATTTGTCCTACTTAATCCATGGCAAAGACTTAGTGTACGTCTAATCATCGTCCGTGTGAGCTCAGACCTGGTGTGTGCACGGCTTTCTTTAAAGAACAGACTTTGTCCTCTCTGACTCCACCCTCCGTCCAGCACTGCCCCATGTTTAGATGTGACAAACCGGACATTTAAGAGAGCTTTTTACAATGAGTGGGAACTTTGACGTCGCTGAAAGAATGTGCAAATCAGTAGGAAACAGTACTATATATCTTCCTTTAGGTTTCTGGAGAGCATGAAACAGAGATTGAATTCAGAAGAAAATACATGTTTTCGGATGGAAAAAGTGGCGACCGATTGATCTGCAGTCCATGCTTTTAGCTCATCTCTGCTTGTTTAATGTCACTCAGTTTTACTTGTTTTAATAAGTCGGCACTTCAAACACTTGAGCTGGAGCATAACTCTGCCGCAGGACTTTAACAAGGACTTACAAACAGCCCACATCACTCCAGTTTTATCATCTCCTGACGGGCGTCCAATAAACTGTACGATTTAAATAACCCTTAGGGCGCCAAAGTAGAAGAGTCGCTTCATAAGTTCCTCAATCCAGGACACTTTCAATTGATCTTAGTAGTCGTCTATCTCTTTTACAGCTTCAACCTCTGGGTTGAATTTATAATTCTCACATTTCCAAGGCTGCACAATCAGTTGAGAATCATTGCTCTCAGACTTTCTTTAATATTTCACACTGAGCTTATTCCAACAAGCAAATTACATTTGCACAAAAGGTGGCAATTACGGCTTGCACTTACTTTATAAACAAGGATATTCTTCTCCTGGTCATTCCTGTTTGGAGCGATCTGAACTGTGGGGGTCCAGACCTGACTTCATCCTGTCCTGAGGCGCAGCCGAGCAGTGCTCGGAATCACGCCGTTATAATTAGATTTGAAAATGGCATAAAATGTAATTTTCTTAATTTAGGTAAAACAATACAATCTTTCACTAAACCTTGTCCCATTGGGATTTTTTATTTCTGTGAAAGTCTGAATCTATTCTCTTCTTAATTTGCCAGAAAACCTTATATTAAAACCTATATCACCTATATATTCCCTACGATAGTTTGAGTCAAAACTACAACATGACCAGACCAACTTATTACAAAGGTGTTTCTTTAATAAATGCTTAATCTTGAAGTGACATCAGAACAACTCCAGTCAAAACTCGAGGGCGTTCTGGGACAATATCAGGAGTCAATTTAAAAGCTATCAGGATATCATCAGCCCTACATCTTTCCCTTTGTTTCATTCATTTCACCTTTGTAAGACTCGGACCCTGATTTGTAGAACAGACTGTGGCTTTTAAAGCGCAAAGCTCTGTATTAGAATTAGTGCCGGAAATGATAAGACTGTTGTTTCAGTAATACTAGACCACAAGAAGCCATTTAGGCAGAATATTACACACAGAGAGCCTCTCCACAGCACACATTACACTCCTGCTTAAGTGGCTGCTCGTACCCACAATGCTTTGGGCCGCTAGTTCATTTTCTGAGAGGAGAATGGCGCCATGCAGGCAAAATAAATTAGGATTATGATGAATTTACCTAAACACCACTGTAACAGTACATTTTCTATTTGAATCTTGATCTAAAAACTACTTGATTAAAACTGGCGGTAACTAAAATATTGTACAAGTCAATTAATTATTACATTCCAACAATATGAACTGTGAAAATTGCAAAATGATAAGATGGGCAAGGCAACATGACAAAATATTGTTGTATTTAATATGATATTCAAGTCAGATCTCAAAATCTTGTTTTTCATTCCAGTTTACTTTTTGACGAGGGCTGGGATAAACTATTACAGGACTACTCAGAGCACCTGTATATGACCCACGCTAGCTCCATTTGAGGAGAAAGTCATTTTTGTCCACATCCTGTAAACGCACTTGTTTGTAAGCTGCAGGTTTTCATGTCGTAATGTAACACTTGACAAACAGCTGATGGCGCAAAACAAAGCAGATGGACACAACATGATATAATGATGAGCTGTTTTAACGCACTGTTGACTTGTGATGATCAAAGCAAATCTCTGGAGATCAACAGCTGATAGAGCTGCGTCCAAATACCTTCCTGCACCACAGTGGGCGCGTTAACAAAATAAGAATACATACTTTTGCCACATAGCTGTATAGACCTTAAACTTAAAGAACTTGAAAAAAGTAGCGGCCTATAGCCCAGAAAGTCCTGCATTTCTATTTGTATTGATCTGGCATTTTTTTTTGTCCAAGTTGATTATTGATTATATTCCCATGAATTGACTAAAATCAATTTTTACATGTTTGCCCCCCCCCCTCTGCTCGCATCAGCCCAAACACTGTCCACTGCTGTCTCACACTGACCGTCAGATCTGTGTGAATGATGACACATGACGAGCGAGGAGGAGAAAAGAATCTCTGTGAAGTCGGCTCCATCGAACACACTTCTTCACAAAATTGTGGCTTTAATGTTAATATTGTCTCTGACCTGTTGGAGAAGCATTTGACCCACAAGAACGCCCCTAATCTCTACAGTTTTAGCTCTTCTTTTCCACGTCAATTCAAGCGTGGACTTCACTAGAGTTAAACTTTATAAGTGAAGAGCTACTCAGGGCGCACTCAAAGCTAACGCACACACACAATAGTGAGTCTCAAATGGTCGCTTACATCGTCCTAGTCTCCGGCGCCACATCAGTTTTGGTGACGAACCGACGCATATATGTTAGGTTGATGTATTTTACGCATCCACATAATCAATGACGTCGAAGCGAACAATAAATACGCATCCCAGCCCTTGCTTAGTCGAACAAAAATGTCTTTTGTCGACCACAGCAATTGAAATCGGGGATCAGCGTAATACGTCTCTGGAATACAGGACAACAATCGCTAAAGCTCGGTTTAGCTCAAATGTCCCCTTTAAAGTGTCACTTTAAAGGGGGAAAAACACCTGTGGATGTGATCTTCAACTAGGAACAAACCAAATATGTTGGAGGAGCAGAACGCATAATTTGCATCTTTTTAGCTCACTGACTAAAATCATTTGCTTAGAACAGACCAGACTGCCGTTATTCAAATGTTGTGGTCTATTGGACAAAAACAGTGGTAACACTTGACAATCTGTGCTTTTCACAGGTTTAACTTTAAAGCATCACTATTGAGATACTATTGACCAACTGTCTAATACCAAATAGTTAAAAATACCAAAAACCACCACTAGATTGATCTAAATTTGATTACAAAGAATGAACAGTTGGCTACATAGGGACAATATGAACAGCCTGTTGCTAAACTATTGTTGAAGCTTTGCCCTCTGCTGTTTACAGTTTCAGAATGAAAATGTATAAACAATATGGTTAAGTTGTACTATCACCCAGGCCATAATGCAAAGGTATTTATGTGGCGACTCTCCTCTCCAACAGATATGAGCTGTAACTCGCCTGTCACCTGTGGATAGGTTTGACCCTGAAGTAGTTCTGCCAGAAATGTAATGTGAAACAGACAAAAAGTGGGAGCCCTGGCACTAATAATATTGAAGAACAATTTTCGGACCCCTACACCCTGGAGTCACACGGTACTAATAATAATAAACCCTTTTGGTGTCTGACTTTCTTCAGGTATATCCTCCTATTGCCAAGTCGGGTTGTAGAGGCTTCCTTACAGTGTTGTAACCACACTAGAGTTCAAACTCCATTTCTAAAATGGAAAAGAAACACTGTGGAATCAACATGTTTAATTCCACTGCAATTATTTCTAAATGTTCCATTTGGACAACTAACTAAATGTTAGCTCTTTTATGGGGCTATGAAAGGTTTTGCATACAGGTATTTACTTTTGATACTAGCTTAAGTACTCAATACTTTGACAACTGAGACTTTATACTTCTACCATCTTAAAATATCAAACCTCTGGAATCTTCACAATATTACATGTCTATTGTGGGTATTTATACAATAGAATTTTATCGAGATTTTGTATGCATGCCTTAATATACTTATTAATTGTTTGCACATATACTAAAGCAAATTCCTAGTTTGTGACTTCCGGTCACTTACAATGGCAATAGGAATGATTCTGGTTACAAAAAATTGCCGTAGTATTGAAATTGGTAAGAACTCGATAATTATTTCTCGCATAAATATTGAGTTTTGTGACAATATTAGCATATAGTGTATCATTTGGGGGCCACAAACCCCATCTTGTCCAGGCCCCCCCTCGCCTCGCAGCGGCCCTGTGCAGTGCATATTACTACTACATAGTTCTTACCCAGGAGCAACAGTTTGAGCTCACGCCGTGCGTCCCTCTTGTCCCTGCGCAGCTGTCTCTCGATCTCGTCGTTGATTCTCCGTGCCTCTTTAGCCTCTTCACTGAGGCAACACGACATGATGGACTCCAGGGTCATCTTCTCCAAGTGTGTGTCCGCTTTTTCACCAACACACACGTTTCACACGCCTCTGTAGCAGCAGCAGCAGCAGCAGCAGCAGTGATTCATCCAGTTTTTCCACAGACCGAGGCCTTGTGGTTATGGCGAAGGGGCAGCATACAAGCCAACTCCTAGTATATCTGAAAAAAAATGCCTCCTTTAACACAAAAAGATAGATTTGTGCGATAATTCCCCCCTCCCCTTTGACTTTGCGTTGCTTCCCAGGCTTCACAGACAGCTTCCAACTATGACCACACAGCTGTTCAAAAACACTCGCTGGTTTACTTGTTATAATGTTGCTTTCTCCGCGCGAAAATGATCAACAGATCGTTTCCAAAGCCATTCCCAGCGCGGGTACAGTGCCACCGCCTCTGCTTTTACTGCTGCTGCTGTTGTGGGAAAGCTGTTTTTACGCGCGGCCATTCGCACACATTCCTTCCACTTTCGCCAACATGTCCGTGCGAAATGATCCCACGCGTCCAGGTAGAAAGGGAAGAATGCGCGACAGAAAGTGCGTTTAAATGTGTGTTTTCCACTGGCTGGCTCGACTCTCCGGGCGTGGTAAGGCAGCAGAATATGGCGGATTTCGCTCCAATCCGCTAGGCTGCTGGGAGACAGTTATCTGCTCCCAAACGCTCCAAAAAAATCTGTGGCCTGGCGCTGGGCTTAAAGTGCGTGCGCGTCCATTCCGTGCCAAAAGTCTGGGTCCAGGCGTGCGAACTGTCGCGGGTTTCTGAGCGGGGAATCTTCTCCTGTCCCTGGATTGTGTCTTCGTGTATTTTTATTCCAGAGGCCATCCACTCCTCCGCTGTCAGGGTGACGTCGGCCTCAAACGGGGGGCGTGCCTCTGTGCGTGAAGCTGCAGAGGAGGAGCTGCACCGTCGGTCCCGCGCTCACATGCACCTGTTAGTTAGTGTAGGAGAAATTACTTTGAAACTATTACCAGTGTCCGATCCAGAATTCTGAAAACATGACCAAAAAGGAATTTTGTAAAGTATACCGTTACTTTGGAAAAAGTAACGATACTTTATGCTATACTTTATTCTTTACCTGTATTCCGAAAACTTAGAATACTTCTATTCAAAATTGGAATGATTACTTTTGTATTATTTATATTCATTGTAAATGAATGTGTATTTACAATCAACTTAAAAAGGTAAATTTCAGAATAATTTAAACCACAACCCCATGTTTAAATAAATAAAACATGTAATTATTTGATCATTTGTTTTCACATTGCTTCAACAGCTGACAACCAGAACACACTTTAAGAATACCCAATGTCCCAAAACTGGGCTCACTATTCACCATGAAATGTACAAAACACATACCCGGCGGCACGGTGGCTGAGTGGATAGCACTCTCGCCTCTCAGCAAGAAGGTCCTGGGTTCGAATCCTGGCCGGACCAGGGCCTTTCTGAGTGGAGTTTGCATGTTCTCCCCGTGTCTGCGTAGGTTTCCTCCGGGTACTCCGGTTTCCCCTACCACTAAAAATATGTACAATAGGTCTGGCATGCGCCTCCTGTTCGGCGACCCCGCTCCCATCTCTGTGTGGAGTGAGAGGACAAGTGCCCAAAAAATAACAATTGTAAACCGCTTTGTGACTCTGGTCTGTGAAAGGCGGTATATAAATAAAGCTTACTACTACTACCCTCCATTACAAAGACTCCATCTCCACTGCTAAATCCACATACTACTCCGGATTAATCAGCTCAAATGAAGGTAACTCCAAAACACTTTTCTCACTCATCTCGTCCATCACAAAACCTTCTGACTCTCTTTCCTCTCATCTCTATTCATCTGATTTTTGAAATACCCTGGCCTCATTTTTCAACTCCAAAATCCAGCACATCCACCAGCAACTCACTCCATCTTCTCCCAATGCTCCTGCTCCATTCTTCCCAGCTCCAACCCACCTCTTCTCTTCCTTTACCTCCCCATCTGTCAACCAAATCTCCACCTACATCCAAAAATCCAAATCCTCCTCCTGTCAACTTGACCCTCTCCCCACCGTCCTTGTTAAAGCCTCCACTCCTGCACTTTCCCCTCTCATCACAAACATAATTAAAACCTCTCTTTTGAGGAGGAGTTCAGCAATAAAACTGAACTCCTCCTCATCTGCACCAAAGCCACCCTCAATAAAATCAAAACCTCAGGTAAAGAGTCTGGGTGTCATCCTCGACAGCACCCTATCATTCACCGCACACATTAATAGCATCACCCGCATTGCCTTCTTCCATCTCAGAAACATCCGACGACTCCGCCCCTCTCTCTCCCCTCACACCACCGCCATACTCATACACAGCCTCGTTACCTGCCACCTCAACTATTATAACTCGCTCCTGTTCGGTCTCCCTCAAAAAACCCTCCATAAACTCCAACTGGTCCAAAATACTGCTGCCCGTCTCATCACACACACCCCCTCCATCAACCACATCACTCCTGTCCTCAAACAGCTCCACTGGCTCCCCATCACTCACCGTATCCAATACAAAATCCTGCTCCTCACATTCAACGCCAGCCACAACCTTGCTCCTCCATACCTGACTGACCTCCTCCAGATCTCCACACCTGTCCGCTCCCTCCGCTCCTCCTCCTCTCTCCAGCTCCTGGTCCCTCCTGCCCGCCTCATCACCATGGGGAGTAGAACCTTCAGCCGCTCTGCTCCCCAGCTCTGGAACACTCTCCCCCCTGACCTCCGTAACACTGACTCATTCACATTCTTCAAATCCACCCTCAAAACTCATCTGTTTAGACAAGCCTACTCACTAACATAACCACACTCTCCTCTGTCCATGATGCTTTTAACTTTGTATTTTAACTGTTTTTAAAATGCACTTTTTTACTTGTATGTAAGGCGACCTTGAGTGTCAAGAAAGGCGCCTAAGAAATAAAATGTATTATTATTATTATTATTATTAATGTAAAGGAAGGTTTCTCACCCATCATCTGTACTTCTTAGCAGGTTGTCCCAACGTTTTGTCAGGCCAAACTTTTATCCTTTATTGTTAGCAGTTGTGTGAAGGCACATTAGATGTTATTTGACAGTAAACTCTCTATGAAGAGTGGAATGGTGTTTTGTGTTGTCACCTCCAAATTACAGCACAAACACAAGCACAACTGTATTTCAACCTGGATGGACTCAGATACTCAGGAAGATTTGAAAGGTTTATCAAACTATTATTAATTTGACAATGAGACGTCCCAGCAATTATATGATGCATGATCAGCAGGGGGATTGCATGACAGGAGCATCCGCACGAGGCCCCAACTGAGGTGGTGGCAGCCAGGCTCAACAGATCTGTTGATTGAGGAGTGAGGTTGAGAATTGTGGGTTAAGTGGCAATAACCAAATACATAGACATATAAATATAGATAACTTACATACAATGATTGTTGACATGTCTTAATAAATATCATGTTTATCTTGTCCACAAATATTGAAATAAAGAGTGATTGGTTCCATGTCATCGTCAATATTTGGGTGTCTATTGGGTGTTATTTGTACACTCCAATTAGACACACCCACACCACTGCGGGACTTGTGAGAGTGGTCCGGACCGTGCAGCTCCGCGCATGCAGAAACAAACCGTCGCGTCTCAACCTGTGGAATGAAACTGTGAATGAATCATGTTTTCATCTGTCTCTATGGGGTTATTTTCTTTTTTTTTATTAGCAGACTGCAGCTCTGTGAATGAACACAGACCTGGATGCATCATTCAGGTGACTCCCGCGGCTCCCCACGCGGTCACAGCGAAAGACGTCACTTTGTTCAAACGCGTACACTTATAGCCTTGACAATAAAGCGCCAGTGAGTGGAGTGCAGCATGAAACAAAAGCAATTGTGCAAAAGATAAATTAAAAGTGGTGACTCAAAGCTTTTCAACGCACACGGGTCAATAAGGGAAGCCGATTTAACCATTATTTTCTGTTATATGATCGCTTGAAGCTGATTGCCAACCGCATTTTGTAGAATTATCTAAAACAGTCTATTTCAGATAATAGGACTACTTTATTATTGATAAAAACACTGTCAAGGTGAAATTCAAGCATTTTCAAAAGACTTGCTAATTGACCTTATACTGTATTTGATCATATGATAGTACTTCCTAGTTATAAATTATCACTAGAGGGATATCAAAGTGTCAAAGAATGAGATTGTGAATCTCCCTTTCATGATGTCATCGCTTCTAGAATGCTACTCTACTATAAATTTTAAAAAATATATATTAAAATGGGGGAAAAAATGCAATGCAGAACTATTATTTTAAACGCCTGAAAAATACAAATTTACAAAATGCAAAAAACCTGTAATAATAACTTAATGTACTCAAAGTAAATAAAACACATTTTAAAATCAGTGTGCAGGAACTCAAAGACAAATCAACTTTTCTACATCATTTAGGATTTGAAGTGTCATGCAAAGCTAATAAAACAATAATGCTGTACTATTTAGTGCACCTGTATGTTAACCACACCACCGAAATTTGAAAAGAAAGTTAATTTTGTCTGCAGGCTGCACAAAAACATTAGCAGACAATTCTTTTAACTGGTCACCTGATTTATGACAAGGTTTTATAAAGATCTTGCTTTACAAAAACCTATGTTGCCATAAATACAGTTTCTCCCCTTCTTGGGAAAATCCTTTGAAATGTATTCTGGCAATAACAAACCATGTTGAAGATTGTAACTTGACAACTTTTCAAATCGGTGGGTCCTAACACAATCCGACAAGTTAAAAGCCACGGCCATAAATTCTACAATAATAGATAAAGACACTAGTATGGTCTCTATATGAATGACCAGAGGAACCTCAGGCAGTCCATCAGAGGTATTGAGCTTTGAGCCTGCTGAAGTATCGAGTGTTGATTAGTGGCAAACTGGGCTAAGTGCTCCATTAAACAGAGTAATGAGGACACGTTTGAGTATACTACCATTTACACTTAATTCTACTATAATCGTCTACAGTATGTCAAGTACGTAAAGAAGCCAAACAGTCCTCAGGTCACTACTTATTCCAACGTTAGAGATCTTTCTGGAGTTTCTAAACCATGTTACAAAATTCAAACATGGCTCGTATTCATGCCACTTTCATGCAAAACGAAGATACATAATCTGCCAACTTCCCAAAGTCAGAGCATTCATGAGGAGCGAACGAACATGTTTGTATCGTTGTTGTCACTGCTGATTTCACTTTTGAAAATGAGGTACACTAAATTTACACATAATGAAAGCATGTGATGTTTTTACTGCACTAAGAAGTAGAAAACATGTTGTCCTTGAGCGTCTGCTACAGAAATAAATACATATTTTGAGACTGGTCTAACTTGGAAGGTGGATCTAGAATATGAATTAAAGTGAAACGATTTAGTTGATTAATCGCATAGTAATGATGAGTTAACTCACGATTAATCGCATTTTTAACATTCTATTTGTAATCCACTCCAATTGAAGTTAAATGAGATTTTCAAATGTAATGACACATTGTTATTCAGACCAAATGTACTTAAATCTGTTTGACTTGCTCACAACCTTCTACTTTTGGGTACAACCAACAAGAGCTGTTAATGAAAGGGAAAATGTAGGTACCCCAGCTTTAATTTTGCGAGTTTGGTCATTTCAGCGTGTCTCCTCCTCTCCTCCGTGTGTCACACAACATCAGAGAATTGCCCCTGTGCGTGTATATATGGGTGTATTATATGACCAAGTTACCTCTGTCACCATCACACGCACGCACGTGTCCGTGGCATTCTGAGTGATATTATTATAAATGGGCGGGTCATTCGGACATGCGATGACTCATTGACTGCCAGCCTATTTCAGAACAGGTACTCCCATAATGCCAGCCGTTTCTGATGATTTTTACTGAATTTTCAAGACCCACAGAATATTGTGTACTATGACTATCTGAAGATTCTGAAAAGAGATTCTGAAAGAATGGACTGTCTACTTTCATCAGCAAAAATAATTTTGTTTCTAGCTTGTTTTGTTCCCCTGTAATCCCCAGTCGAGTAGAGGTAAGTTTTATTGAAATCACCAGAAAGCTGAGAAAAAAGAGGCACAAGTGCATCTAGCTGTTTTCAAACCATTCACAGAGCAATGCTGCCATCTGCTGGCTCGATACAATATTGCCTCAAGCCTTACATATTTGATACAATAGACATCTGGGAACGTGAAAATAGCGGGAAACGCAATTGACGTGTTGACACTTTTGTTAGGCCTACCTGTTTTATTTTGACGTGTTAACACGTCAATGGCAGTTAATGCGTTAATTATTTTTTAACGCGTTAATGAAAACGGTAATTAACGTGAATTAACGCGATAATTTTGACAACCCTAATTTTAACATTTTCTCTTTTCCTCACATTTGCAAACGTCCAGTATCGTGACTTATGAATTTAACGATTGTAATAATCTAATTGTAATTATAGCAAGTTTGTGCATATTTAAAATAATCAAGGCGCATTTTCCTAAACATTTTAACCAGTATTCATGTTTTCTATATTAGATCGACGGAATCTAACATGCATTTGGCCTCTGTCTGAAATTGAAAAGTCAACATTAACATGCAAGAATGTTTGTGTAAGCTCTCAGTCGTACAGGGATTAGTCAAAGCAAAGGAAGGTTTCTCACCCATCATCTGTACTTCTTAGCAAGTTTTCCCGACGTTTCGTCCTCAACCTGGGGACTTCTTCAGGGAATGAATTCTCGGACCGCGCGTTGGAGATTTATAACCTATGGGTGTGGTAAGCCACACCCTAATCCTGATACTAACTCGTAAACAATCTCAGGTCTGCTTGATGTAGAAGGGAGCAGGTCTAACGACCCTGCTGAGGCTAACGACCTTAACTTAGCATGTCACAGACCTATTGTCTGCTGGGATGCTCAAGTGGAGTGCAGGTCTCACCCCTCCTAACTCATTAGCATGTCACTGACCTTGTCCCAAGTTAGGGCGTTGTTTTTAGGATGTCGTCATAGATGCGAGGCAAAACAAATCTTAACCCTCCTCCTCTGTTAAGAGAAGGTTTTTGTTTCCTCACAAAAATGGCTTCTTTCACTCCTCTCGCAAACCAATTCTTCTCCCGAGCCAGAATTTTAACCTCTGTGTCATCCACCGTGTGGACCCTAACCCTAACCCTAACCCTAACCCTAACCCCTAACCCCTAACCCTAACCCTAACCCTAACCCTTAGACCTGCTCCCTTCTACATCAAGCAGACCTGAGATTGTTTACGAGTTAGTATCAGGATTAGGGTGTGGCTTACCACACCCATAGGTTATAAATCTCCAACGCGCGGTCCGAGAATTCATTCCCTGAAGAAGTCCCCAGGTTGAGGACGAAACGTCGGGAAAACTTGCTAAGAAGTACAGATGATGGGTGAGAAACCTTCCTTTGCTATGCAAGAATGTTGTATTCAGGACAATCGACATTCACCTACATTTATGGACATCTATTAACATTTATTGACATCTGCCCCTCTCTCTATGTGCTTTTATTATTGCATTTCCTGTGTTTCAACTGTTTCATTCTCTGATCTGTGTTGGCGAATCGATGGCTTTGTAAAGTCGGAATTGAACTGAATTGAATTGTATGTGTACTATGCAACCAACATAAATTACTTGCACTGGATAAAAAAAAATAAACAAAACAAAGCTTTTCATGTATTTATTTGTGTATTTCTGTTAATTCATTCATTATTCATTTTCTATTTTCTTTGACATTGTCGACCATGAGATCCTCTCACAGAGATTAGAGGACTGGGTTGGCGTTGCTGTCACAGCCCTAAGTTGGTTTGGGTCTTACCTTGAAGACAGGAAGTACTTTGTGGAGATTGGAAACTGTGTCTCAGATCATATGGCCCTGACCTGTGGAGTACCACAGGGGTCGATCCTGGGACCTCTTCTGTTCAATCTCTACATGCTGCCGTTAGGTCAGTTAATACGCAGAAATGAAGTGTCCTATCACAACTATGCAGACGACACTCAGATCTATGTCTCACTGACTGCAGGAGAACATGGACCAGTGGACTCACTCCTTCACTGTATCCAACAGATCAGTGAGTGGATGCAAAACAACTTCCTTCAGCTAAACGCAGACAAAACTGAAATGATTGTCTTTGGTCCCCAGAAACAAAGAGAGAGCGTCATCTGTCACCTCCAGTCTCTCTCCCTAAAACCTTCAAACAAGGTCAGAAATCTAGGGGTAATACTGGACTCAGACTTAAATTTTAATAGCCACATCAAATCAGTAACATCAGCAGCTTTTTACCATCTAAAAAACATTGCCAGGATCAAAAACATAGTGTCTAAAGCAGACCTGGAGATTCTTATCCATGCATTTGTCTCCAGTAGGTTAGACTACTGCAAGGGCCTGCTCACAGGTCTGTCCAAACAGGCTGTAAAACAGCTGCAGTACATTCAAAATGCAGCAGCTCGAGTCCTGACAAGAACCGGGAAGTACGACCACATTAGTCCAGTTCTCAGGTCTCTGCACTGGCTTCTTGTGGCTCAGAGAATAGACTTTAAAAACGCCTCTGCTTGTGTACAAGTCTCTCCATGGCCTCGCACCAAAATATATTAGTGACATGTCAGTCCCATATGAACCAGCCCGGACTCTGAGGAGCACAGGGACTGGACTCCTGTTAGTGCCCAGAGTCAGAACTAAACATGGGGAGGCTGCTTTTCAGATTCATGCTGCTAAAATCTGGAACAGTCTTCCTGAAGATGTGAGACAGGCCTCCTCTGTGACAATGTTTAAAACCAGGTTAAAGACAGTTCTGTTTAGCTGTGCATACAACTGAGGGATTTTATATTTTTAGCTTTCTTTTTAATGTTCTGTGATTATTTATGATTTTAATGCTTTCTTGTTTTGTTCAGCACTTTGAATTGCCTTGTGTATGAATTGTGCTAATATAAATAAACTTGCCTTGCCTTGCCTTGCCTATTCATTTATACTTCTATTATTTCAACATGTGCAAATAACAACGTTGTAAACAGTACGATACAAATTGCACCTTGTATAGAAAGTAAATGTTTATTTATCGATGTGATTGATTTTTTCCTTGAATTGAAGATGTTTTTAATAAGGTTTTATTTTGTTAGGCCTACCTGTTTTATTTTGAAGGGTTGACGTCCGTTTCCTGTCTGTGTGCCCCACGTGACTCCTCCCCTTGGCGACCTGCAGAGCGTCGCTGTGCCGCTGCCGTCGCTAGGGTCTGTCAGCTCCGCTCCTCTCACTGCGCTCCTCACGCATTTCTTCCGCTATTTCTGCGCTATATTTCATCCTCACGCATCTCCAGAGACCCACTTTACGATGGCACCTTTCCCCGAACCCCTTCCAAGCACAACGTGGCCGTTTTTCTCACGATTTTCCGCCTTTCATCCGCGCTAAAGTTGCGTTTGAAACTCGCCATGAGAGGAGAAAAGATTAGTTATCCAGCTAGCATGCTAACAAGATAGCCTCAAGCATCGCATCGACCCCGCCTTGTAGTGACAGGTTTGTAACAGTGCGTTTATATGTTTTGATGATCTGGCAATGCTCTGTTTACAATGTTTACTTAACAAATGTATTGTTTTGTTGTGTAACGTCAGCGTAGTCGGTTAACAGGTGTTACTAATTCCTTCTGACAGTAATGATTCGCCTAATAGGATTTAAGCCTTCTTTCTCCGTACTGACTGGAGTGGACATACTAGCAAGGAAAAAGCCAAGAATAACAATCTTGTGTAACATAGTAAAACATTGTAAAACATAATGCTGGTTTATTATTTATCATTGCAAATACAAAGTTGTTTCCATGTATTGTGATGAGTTATGGTATGGCTATTATACAGTCATCCTCCACTCTTCTGTGTGGAATGGAATATTTCACTGAGTCACAATAATGTAGCATTAATGCAGCAGGTGCTAAGAAGTAGAAAACATGTTGTCATTGAGCGTCTGCTACAGGATCAAATACATATTTTGTCACTGGATGATCAAACACACACACGCTGTAGAATATGGCAACACCACATTACTTTCTGCATATATAATTAATGCATGTCAATGACCACACCTCATAATAATCATAATAATAATACTTTTTTAACGCTTTTTTGGATACTTAAATACGCTCTACAAAAGGACAGATTAATAAGAAACGGGTAAGTGCAGGCAGTTTTGAACAGGTGGGCTTTGAGCAGTGATTTTTAGTTCTGAAAATAGTATGAGTTGTGGGAGTGAGTTCCAAAGACGGGGGGCACCTGCTGCGAAGGTTGGTACCCCAAGGTCCGGCACTTTGTTCTGATCGGAGTGAGGATCTGGGGCGGCAGGGGGAACAGTGCTGATAGAGTAGGTCGATGAGATATGAGGGGGCCAGGTTATGGAGGGACTTGTAGGTGACTTGTCGGATGTCAATGGACTGAAGGCAATGGAGAAGGTTGTTGTGGTCAGTGTTGTCAAAAGGATGAGGAGGAGATCATTGGTGACTTCCAGGAGGGCTGTTTCTGGACTGTGATGTGGTCAAAAATAGGATTGGAATGTTTGAAACAATTGGGAATTGAGTAGATACTGCTGGAGTTGGGAGACAAGGGCACATTCCAATATTTGACAGGAGTAGGAGGGTGCAGAGAGGTCTAAAGTTGTCCAGGTTGTCGAAATCCAGACCAGGTTATTTCAGAAGGGGTGTGACGGTGGCTCGTTTGAGAGGATGGAACAATAGAGTTGAGAAAGGTGTGGTATGGTTAAAGAACTATTCTGGAGGGGGGGACAGATGTATGAAGTGTGGTGTGCATGGTTGGGATTTTAGAGTGAAAATATCTCTGTGGGAGGGATGATTTTGTCCTTGAGTTTGGTGAGGTGTGCAAAAGTAGAGAACAGGGTATATAAGTGTGAAGCATTAAAGTGTAGTTTGACCAGGCGATGTTTAAAGCTCTGATCTAGGTGAAGTTGGTTTTGCGATGGAGTGGTTCCAGTCTGTGTTTTTGTTTGAGTTGTTGGAGATCATGGAGCGGAGGCAGAAAAAGAGTTTTATTGTTTGTTGTCCCACAGTTACACTCACAAACACACATTCAATCACCCTGAACTATTGCATTCCGAAGCCTTTCACATTCTAAACAAATTATTATATAAAAAAAAAGGATTCTCAGCGAGGAGACCACTACTACAAGTGTAGTGATTATTATCAGCACTTTATTACAAAACTGATACAGTGAGTCCACCTTCACAAAGTTACACAACAGGCAGAACTAGTCATAGTATATAATGAATAAAAGTAGGACCTTTTTGTTGATACCTTTTTAATCTTGAGTCCTTGAATTCAGGAAAAGATTCATAGAGATCATTTTTGAACGTTTAAAAAATTTTTTTTTGTTTGTTTATGTTACTAACATATTGTAAGTTTGCAGGAAAAAATAATTGCTGAAAATATATTAAGACGTTGAAAGAGTAGGTGGGAATTAATAAATGTTTCTCCCCGTGTCTGCGTAGGTTTCCTCCGGGCACTCCGGTTTCCCCTACCACTAAAAAACATGTACAATAGGTCTGGCATGCGCCTCCTGTACTGGCGACCCCGCTCCCATCTCTGTGTGGAGTGAGGACAAATGCCCAAAAAATAACAATTGTAAACCGCTTTGTGACTCTGGTCTGTGAAAGGCGGTATATAAATAAAGATTACTTACTTACTTACTCCTTTTCAAGGAGCGGTGAATTTAGTTTTACTATCAGTGTTACAACAACTCTTTTATGTGGTTGTTGTTTTACACAATTTACACTTGTTCATCAAGTGCTTGAAATAAACAAAAATTAGATAATAACTAATTGTAATGGTCAAAAAGTCCATGAATGTAGCAGTACTGTAGCAGTTCGAGCCTTTCTATTCTTCAATATTTAACCCTCTCTCTGTATGTTCTTGTCCATATGTCTCAATGCAGCTGTCTACAGGTCATGATTGTACTTCTTTGGTGCAGGTTCCTTAGCGGACATGGGAAAACTACAGAGCAAGTTTCGCCGGAGGTCGGATCTCTACAAGTAAATCCCATTTTTTACTTTATTACATCACATTACTACGTTCACTTAACATGGTCCTGGGCTCTGGGGGGAGTGAGTATGGGGAGCACACTAGTAACTCGTTAGAATAGATGGTATTGTTCAGAGGACGTGGACTGGTAAACGTGTTCCGTGCCACAGGGGTAATTGCGGCCCAGCACAAGGGTCACTGTGTAGTCGAGGGCAGTTCAATGCCACATAGATAGATAGATTTCTCTCGCACCTATAGAACTCGAGGCTGATGCTGCTGCCGATAATTTAGAACAGAGATGGGACATTCATTTCACCTGGGCCCTCTCTGTCATGTCACAGAGTTTTCATGCAGTTGCCAATTAATATACTGTATATTCCAAGTTACATTAATGAAGTTATGAGAGTGACTGATAATTGTGTCTGTACTGGTCAGCCACTTGTATTCTGTTTTTTTTATGTTAGACACAGTGTCAAGTTAATTCAGACACAATTTTGTTTGTTTGTGAATTACTAACATTACTCACTTATCTTGAACTCACGTGGTGCAGGAGCCATAGAGGTGTCATATTTAAACACATGGCAGAGAGGGGAGAGGGTTTAATGAATGAGCGCTTTGTGGGGAGACATACGGAAGCACAGAGGGTTTGGTCATTCTCTACTAATATCTGGGAAGGGTTCGCGGGCCCGAGAGAAACGTGAAACAGGCCCGGTGTGGCCCCCGGGCTGCAGTTTTTGCCGAGCACTGCAGAGTAGCACCACTTTCAATAGTTGATTCTCAGGTGAAATAAAGGTATGTATTGTGTATTGTATTGTATTGTATTGCATTGCGTATTGTACTGTATTGTGTATTGTGTATTGTATACCTGATTGGATCGATAGATGGGGCTCCAGACATTGGGAAATGTTGGTTTTGTGAGCTCAGAAATGGGGAATTCTTGTAATTAAAACCCCCATTCCAAGTCATTTAAAACATTCTAGAACAGAAATTAACTCCATGTCTGTTTGTGACGAGGGAACAATTTGGGATGTCCCAATACCATGGTTCACAGAAGCGATAAGATTACAGATACCATTATCGGGCTTTTTTATAAAAGTATTGTACAATTTTGTAGTAATTCATTGTATAATTGATTCTATGCATAATATTTTCACTACACATTTGTTTAGTTTCTTAATAATTGTATATATCTTTAATTAATCTTTAATTATAGTTCTCTCTCATGGCCTGAGACTGAATAATGATATTTATTGCTTTTTTTCTCAGACTGTTTTCTCTATAAATAGCAACACTTACCATGCTTTTCAACTGCTTTGTTCTGTTGCTGGATTATTCCTTCAAGGCCAGACAGTTGCAATGCAGGCACAAGCAAAAATATTGCCGACATGTCAACTATTTAAACAAGCACTATATTTAATTGTTATATATAAATTGTGATCTTGGCAAATACATAATTATGTCTGAAAGCTAAGTACATATATCCTGCATGTAACTTGTTTGCACATTTCCTCCCTTTGCACAATCTGAGTGTCTCTATCCATGCCAAATGTGACATGTAAATTTCTCCTCTGTGAGATAAATAAAGCAATCTTATCTTATCTTTAATAATATATAGTTTATATAGTCTATCTGCATGATGTTACAAGTACAAGCACCTGAAACATAGCCGAATCAGAGAACCCATAGAAGCAATGTTACCAGGACAGTTTAGGAAGGTTCATTTTGTCTTCTTAGTAGAAATAAAGCATTTGGTTAGATGGTTAGATGTCTGGTATAGATGGTATTACCTTGACATGCCTGAGAAAGGCTGAGGAAGACGGTAGATAATAACATTGCTATCTTACTATAGTCTGGTATAGAGGAAACAAATACTTTTAATTTTATAATGACATTGTGCCGGTCTCTTAATAATGTGTCAACAATGCAATTAAAGGCAGTGTGCTCTTGTGCTGGTGTTGTGTGCAGGACCACGGGTCAGAAGGACGACTGTGCTCTGGACAGTCAGGTGGTGCAGTATGAGGCCGCTCACCAGGGCTCCATCAACACTGTGGTCAGTCTGAGCCCAGAGGCCTGTGTGTCCGGGGGCAGTGACCAGGTCAGTGACTGTGGTCATGAAGTTACAGTATACTAGGAGAAGACTTTGATATCACAAACTCTAATTTACACAATCTTTATGAAGTGACAAGGAGAAGTAAGAAACACATTTATAGCAATGTCTGTTTTCTGGATGAAATCTCAAATTTTATTTTGAATGTTGTGTATTGAAGATAAATATTGGGTGATTGAGATCTATACTGTGCTCAGGCCGTGGTTGTGTACGACTGGACCCAGGGCCGCATGTGCCAGTCCTTCCAAGGCCACACCAGGGAGGTCACCAAGGTAACAGTAATCTAATAAAAATGCAAACAGCATTTACCGTAAACCAAATAAAGTATTACTGCAAAATAGACCCTGACAGTCCTCTCTGTTGTTTTAACTGTGGATGCACCAACACTGAGATTGTTCCGATCACTGCGATGTTGTGTGACTGTCAAAATGGACTGATCAGATATAATATAACCCAACACACTATGCCAATTTAGGCCATAGACTAAAAGTGAAAACTTTGTTCACTTATAATGTGAATTTATGCATGTAGGAAACACAGAGTCAAATCAAAATAGATTGAAATAATAGTAAGACTAAAGATAAGAGAAGAGATGCCAGTAAAATTTAATGGCACTATATTATATCTATTTGCTGCTTGGAATTGAAATCTACCTCATTGGGGCATCTCTATCACTTGGTTTTTGGCACTTTTACCAACAAACTACATTTCACTCATTCGGTAAAGGCCTATCATTAAAAAAACAAAAAACAAATGACTCTTATCTGTACCAGCCTTATCAATCTTGGTCTGTTTTTCCTGATGCCTCTGTGACGTTAGGTGGTGTGTTACCCCGGTAGCATGTGGATCTTCAGCGCCTCCAGGGACAAGGCTGTGTTCATGTGGGACCTGAACCAGGGCTACGAACCCATCCAGGAGTTCTGTGGACACGAGCTGGTGGTCAACGGCCTCGCGGTCAGCCCCGGTAACAACACACACTATATATACTGTAGTAAAGGTTCAATCCTAGTTCCATATTGGGGTTGGGATGTATCATTTAATAGCACAATAGTCAGGATTCATTATTTAATTACACATTTGAATTTCATCAAATCGTATTACAATGAAATGCATTCCATGTATATTAAAGCTGGAGTACCTAACTTAAAGGTATTTGAGGATTTTCTTTTTCTTTTTCCTTCTAATTGTCAATCATTCTGGTGATATGTGACGCAACGTTTTTCCTCAACAGGTAAAGTCATTCTATCAGGAGGAATCCATTTGAAATCACTTCCAGTAAAAGTTATCTACGTCTATGTTGTCTGACAAAGTTTTGGAAAGTGAGCTTGTGTGAGCAATGCCGACAGTGATTTGTAAACAGAGCGTGCACGAGGAGAACTCGCACACATTTTAATAGGCGTTTCCTCTTGGGAGCAGGGAAAGCGTTGCGCATTTGCAGTTTTTTAAAAAAGTGGAGAGGCCGGTTTTCTCTCCTAAAATTCGGGGAAATCCTCCAGTATACTTTTAAAATAACTATGTGGAAATATCCTTGTAACTAGTTCCTTGCTCTCAAAACAGTTTGGTTTTATCACTAGTTTTCTCAAGCATCTATTGTTGGGTTTTGTCAAAAGATAAATTTTTCTAATAAGACAAAGACGGAATGTTGTGGTCTGATTTATTCACAAAATTTAACTTAAACTGTTGGGACAAACAAATACATTTTTGAAACAACAAAAAGTGAGATATTCCAGCTTTAACTTACCTACTTTTTTGCTGTCTGCCTTTTTAATTTCCACACTTGATTTATGTGGCTTTCCTGTCAGACGGGAGAAAACTGTGCAGCGGTTCGCGTGACAACTGGATGTGTTTGTGGGACATCGAATCTGCCAAGTGTGAACAACGCCACAACATCTCCAGAAACCTGGTGAGAACAGAGCCGAGAGCTGAGTGACAGCTGACAGTCTGACGGAGAGGAGCACTCAGAGTAACGTGCACTTGTTGCAGGTGACTCACGTGTGCTGGGTCCCCGGCAGCTCCTCCATCGCACAGACATCGGAGGACAAAACCATCAGGTAAAATACCCCTTCTGTTTTATTTCAGTGAGTAGATTTAATTCAATTCAATTTATTATTGTATTGAATCAGAATCAGAGGTATATTTATTGCCATTGTGAGTAACAAGAAGTCACAAACTAGGATATTGCTTTGGCTCTCGGTGTAAGTACAAAATGTAAGTAAAGAATAAAGTTCTACTACAGTATATCCAAGGGCACTAATCAGATACCATATTTTTCAAAACCGGTACGTGTACGAGTACCTTAATTTGAGTACTTGCCGATACCAAATACCGATACGAGTACTGCACATAGACTATAAATAATACTGCATTGTGTTATCCTAGGAATTCATAAAACTAATGAATTCTCCTTTCAACAATAAGAAATCACACATTTCAGCAGTTGCTTTAACAGTCAACAATAAGAGCCGCTGTACATAGAAATAGCTCTGGTGCTAGCAAAGAGCGTGGTGTTGAGTTTGATAAAAGTTGCTGGTGTACGTTTTTGTTTTGGATCAAACCTCGTGACAGTTTTACACAACGTACAGTCCGCTTTACTCTTGTCACTCTCTTTTGCTTTAAAAAACTTTAATACGGCCGACACCCTGTCTGCTTGCCGGTAGCTTGCTTTCTCGCTGCCTACTTTGGGAGACCACCATGGAAACACGGCCGCACAGCTGTCTGCTGTCGTGAAAATGTGGGAATCGGACGCCGAAATCGGGTCCTACGGTATCAGTACGAGTCAGAGTACATGCTTTTGGTATCAACCCAATACCTCGGAGGACTTGCAAAACCATTGAATTCACAAACACACATCAGAGAATCAAACAGTTCAAAGACAAGAAATGCAATGATAAAAAAACACATAGAGCCAGTGGTCCATAACGGACAGAAACCAATGTCTATAAATGTTGTTAAATGTCGAGTGTTCTGGATCAGCTTCAAGAGAACCATTACATCCAAAGGCAAAAACCAAACATATAATTGTAACCACTCTTGAGTAACCGCAGCTGTTTGTTGGGTAGACTTTTGGTTTTGCTGGGTGTTTTTACGTAGATTGTGTCGCTTAATATAATTTCATCTCCTCGTGCTGTGGACTGTAGAATCAATTAAACAATCGGTCAATTTTCATCTGTAGAGCCCCTTTCCAACACAAGGCAAGCGCCTCACAACCCTTATCACATCAAGCATAAATCATAAACATTAAACAATAAAATTAAAACCCCACAGGGCATTAAAAACAAATATTAAGATCACAAGAAATAAAACATAAAAAATAAATTCACACAAGTTAATAAAAAATTAAAATCACACAGTGCATTAAAACGAATGTGCTGTTATTATGTCCATGAAAATTGTGACGCAAACATCCAGACCAGTCTCACTGGACCAGGTCTTCAGATTCAGATTCATTCAGATTCATTTATTTGCCATTTGCAGTAAAACCACATTGGAAAAACTGATGCTTAAATCTAAAAATGGTTAAACATTTGATCTCTGATCAGCTGTGCTCTGACTGCAACAGGCTGCAGAGAGAACGACCCTCTCTCAGACCTGTGGGCCCGGAAGTCTGAGGCCAGTTCAGTTCAGATTTCTCGCGGTTGTGACCCGACCTCATATTTGCACAGAAATTATACTGCACTAATTAGAACACAATGGGTTATGTGTTCTCTCATTAACACGGCTGATCCTTCTGCTCTCGGCCTTTAAAACATGGATTAAAAAGGTTCTGAGAATTTGGGAAAATGTCAAATGTCATAAATAAACTTTGTTTTGCCTGGAATGTTCCTCAGCAAGGCACTAAACATATCGATCTACACTGAAGGATATCACCAGACAAAGTTACAAGTCATATCTGTGGAAAGTAGGGTCGTCAAAAGTATAGAAAATTGGATATTCATTTATGCCAAAAATAGTATCAAAACTAGATACTCGTTTAAGCAAGTACAAAAACTAAATAAAAGTACATTACTGTTATCATGAAAATGTAATATGGAACAGAACAGATGCATATTCATCCCTACTATTATCATTGTCTCTGGTGTCTGGTCAATCCTTAGATGGCTCATATGGTTTCAGGATTACAAAGAAAATACCAAACAAACACCATAAAGATCATAGAGATCAGAGAGATCATAGAGATCATAGAGATCAGAGAGAGTGCCCAAAATGGTGAGTGTGACACAAACAGTTAAGTCAATAGGAGCCAGAGGGAGTTGGAGCCAAAGTTTGGCTTCCACCAACCGTTCACACACAGCAGTTTGGCACTTTGCAGCCACAGCTGTAAAGTCCCTATGTTTGTAAACTGTTTCTTGTGTTCAATAAAAAAAAAAAGGTCAAATAAGTTGTTATTGTGTAATAAGGAACCTTTGAAACAAAGGATTTACTCTAGAGGTAAGTCATACTATTTTGAAAATGGGGTGAATGGTGAATATGTGTTTGTTGTGTCCAGGATCTGGGACAGCCGGGCGTGGCAGGTGACCAACACGTTTCCCGCCAAACAGTACATCCAGACGCACTGCGACGTGTCTCTGAACGGGAACTACCTGGTATCCAGTAGCAACGGCTTCGGAGGACAGGGCTGCGAGGCCACGGTCAGAGCTCCACTACTACTTGCACTAAAATACACAGTGCTTTATTCTTGTTTCTTATTATGCCAAAGATAAAGATTCCATACTTCTTTATTATATTTTCTCACAGAATTCTTAAAGTCAGAACAAGAGACGTTGTTTTGCTTTAGTCTCGTATTTGTTTGCAAATGACTTTTTTCAGTCTTAATGGCTAATTGCCGGCAGAAAAACAGACATTAAAGTGATAGTCTGTAACTCTAAATGAATTACAAATTTTAGGAAATGTGTTAAATTGACCTCCTGGCTTTAAATGTTGATATAAAATAAGTAATTTTATTAATTCCAATAATACGGGCAAGTCCCGCCTTCCCTTCTCTTAGCTATAGTTCTGAATCCACGATGCCGTCGAGGTTAACCATGCTCAGTTGTTTGTTTTCACGGAGCCTCTGAATCAAGCCTCTATTAGGCTCTGGAACTTCATGAAAACTGAACAAAGAATTCTGAACATCTGCGCTGAGGTACTTATGTATATACTGAACCTATATCCATAATCAGATCCTCTGCAGATGTGTCCTATAATGTGCAGTTCATGATAATAGCTTCTTCCGGGTTTGCCGCAATCGCTTTTTTTGTGCTTAAAAACATTATTTTTTCCATTAAAACGTTAACAAATAATTCTGAAAACCTCTGTGCTTGCGTCGTTTTTTTCAAATCAAGTACCTCTCTGTCTCTCTTTCTGACAAACTCCAGACAATCACTTTAATCGTGCAGCCCAAGTGGCAATCCCTCGTACTTGCACCAAAACATGCTTCAAAGTGTGTTGTCAAAACTAAACAGAAAGCAGGAATTTTAATCAATGTGAGAAAAATTAGAGCTAACCTGATTCAACCTGAGCTAACTGTATTGTTAAGCTAGTTTTTCTAGTTTTCAGCCCAATTGTAAAATATTTTGACTTTTTTTTTTTCTATAGAAACGTTTCTTTGCCTGGAACATACATCATAAAATATTTGTATTGGGTTTTCTGCTGTCGGTGTGTGAGGGCCCCAGGTTTATGACTACATTAAAATGAACCCGCATTTTATTTCTTCCAAAGCTTTACTGCTCTGGGAAGTGTTTAAAATGAACATAAATTCTTGATTTCTCTCATATTTGATTTAATTGTGGCCGGGTCTTTATCAGACTGTGTTCTGCCAGAATGCGTCTCAGTTTTGAGCAGCTGGATTTTAATATTAATGCTTCACACGTCTGGCATCTGCAGCTCTGAGCTCATTATCAGGGACTTAAAGCTCTCAACAAGGAACAAAATATATAAAAAGGGGCTAATAAAGTAGGTGAATACGCTGTAAAATAAGGCCTCCAGTGAAAATTACTTCTGCACAGACATGGACGACTAACCATTTACAATTGTGAGGAAAGCGCATGTGAACATAGATTGTACACAAGATAAGATAAAACGTAATTGCAGACATTTAAATTTTCTGTCTTATTAAACACATTTGTTGTATCCAAATCAGTTACCGGTGTAGCAGGTTTAACTCCCCGCCAGAATATACCCGGGTATAAAGTAACCGAGGCCAGATTATACCCTGGGTATATCCCAGAATATAACCCCAGGGTATAAACTGGCCCAGGCCGGATAACCCCCCCTTTCATTTTATATATAAACAATAAAATACAAGCAATGTTTTAGTAATTCCTTTATTTCTTACAAAATACATTTAGAAAAAGATATGATTTATGAAATAAACTACTCTACCAGAGATGGGCAAATAAAGCCTCTGAGCAAGCTCAGACCGCTCAGACTAGCTTGTAACACTGACATCTTGTGGACAAATGTAATAATTTCAGTTTATGAAAAGCAATAGTAAAGCAAATACTACTTGTTCCACCGTCAATAAAACTCCAAAACAATTGTGTTGTGGTTTCAATTTCATACTTCTCACATCATTTGGACAAGGCCTACTGCAACAAAACATAGATTAACAGCAATAGGCCCATTTTTTAAAGAATCCTTATATGGAATACAAGTGTATTTCAATCTAAAAACAATTTACAGAAACAAAAGGACTGGTCTCTATGCGTAGATCACAGGTTTGTATTCAAAAACAACAGTTTATCTGCAGCTTTAGTGCTTATCCAGTGAATGCAGTCACACTAAGGAAACAAGATGTAAAGCTCTGAACCAATGAGAAGTCACGAAACACATTGAGCCAATGAAATGCTTCGACACCGACACAGTTGATATGCGCAGTCCGAGACACTGACACGTTTGTCACATGACCGGTTGTTTTGATACTCGCTCCAAAGCAGTGTTTCGAAGCAGTTTGCTTCAGAAAGAGCGACACAAGCTCTGGAGCATCGGTGTCATTTGCCCGTAACTAATATCTAATCAAAAGTTCTAAGAGTTTCATATGAGAAATGAGTAGATACACTGATTCAACACCTCACAAACAAAGTGTGGAAAGCAATCACACTAATTAGGACGACAGACTAATAAACAAACTACAAAATCCTTTTGAAGTTTTAAATTAATATTTATTAACGTATATTTTATTATTATTATTATTAGATACAATAAGAGGGGGGGTAATCTGGCTCAAAGGGGGTTAAAATAGCCCCGGGCTATATTCTGGCTTTGTTTATTTTATACCCCGGGCATAAACTGGCCAGGAGGTATAAAACGGCCTGTTACACTTATTGGTTCTTCTGACCATTTCTGCAGTCAACATCTGAGTGTCAACATGTCTCACTATGTTTTAATAACTCTTCATTCATGCAAACTGACATTTATTATTATGTTAAGATTTCAGAGAATGTTTAATGGAACAAATGACTTCAAATATTTTGAACTAGCCTTTTCCTGTGATAATCTCTATCTACAATACAATTATTATTTTACTCTTGTTGCCAGAATCTCACTGTCTGTGATACATTTAGCTCCTATAAATAATGTATTCATTATAAGTGTAGTTGTTATTAATCCTTAAACTTTTGTTTATAGAAATATTTGGACAAAATATGATTTGTACATGTTGAGCTATCATATAAAATATATAAATTAAACATCAATCTATGTTTCGGTGGCAGTTTGTGGTTTAAACTGTTTTTTTGGTAACAGTAGAACCATAACTTTGTCCAGACCAGTACACACTTGTACTCAGCTGTAATTTGAAAAACAAAATCTATGTTCTATGTGCAGCTGTGGGACCTGAGGCAGCCCGGCTGTAAAGTGGTGGAGTACAGGGGCCACCTCCAGACCACCGCCTGCTCCGTCTTCCTCCCCTCTGATGGTGGGGGGAGCCCTCTGGTGGCCACCTCCTCACACGACAGCTCTGTCAAGATATGGGACCAGAACACAGCAGGTAAACCCCTAAAGTCCCACAGGCTTAAAACGGCTTGAATTTTGAATTCAGGTTACTATTATAGATTAATGTTTTTTTTATTTGCTTATAATACAATGCAAAGTCATAGAATCTACACCATCGAAAGGTTCAGTTTCAGGAACCCTCTACATTTGGGATAAAGACGGTTCTCGTGACATCAAGTCCACCCCAGTCTTGTTATATTTTATCAGATGTGCTAGATCATCAGTGTTTTATTTAGTTCAGTAAAACACATCAGTGTTTCATTCTCATTAATTACAGCCCTAGCATTTTGAAACAAGTTAATGATGAATTACTGATCGCGACCAATATTCTTTCTTTCTTTTTTAAAATTATTTAAATTTTTATTAGGAAAAGGATCACACCATTACAAATATGTATAATTGTCGATTGTAAGGGGGGGTGGTACTGGTACCTATAAATAAATATAATTAATTTATCCAGATGGACATTTTCTAGGGAATACTAACTTTTAAGATTGGGCTTAGAGTTCACTCATGACAGATGACTGTCAGTGATTCCGTGAGCATCTGTCCTCGTGTAAATGTGCGTTTTCCTGCGTCCTCAGCGTGTGTGGGGACTCTGACTCTGGACGGAGCAGGGCCTTTGGTGTGCTTGGCTCCCAGTGACCCGTTCAACCTGATCTGTGCCAGTTTTAACTCCGGCCTGCACCACCTTCAGCTGGGCCAGAGCTCTCCCAAAGGCCAGAGCTCCGCAGCCTCCGCAGGGGCCCTGGACCTCCGGCTCCTCGCACGCTTCTAACGTTTCCACAAACAGGACTCATCTCTAGCTTTCACAGGACTGGACGCTGTATGTCAAAAGTGTTTTATTCATCCAGTGTTGCAAGTATTGTTTACCAAGATCTTGTTTTGAGGACAGGAAAGCCTTCTCCAGCACATCCCAAAGACTCTCAATGGGGTTTAAGATCTGGACTCTGCGGTGAATCCATGTGACAATGATGTCTCCTGCTCCTTAAGCCCCTCTCTCCAAATATGAGCTTCATCACTTCTAGCAGGGTCAATTCTCTACAATTCAATCTATTTTTGTATAGCCCTAAATCACAACAGCAGTTATCTCGGAGGACTTTACAAAAATGTTGACTCCCCAACACAGATCAGAGAATCAAACAGCTCATTACAGGAAATGTAATGATAAAAAACACGTGACCAATGTCCATAAATGTCGTTCAATGTCATCGATCTTCACTGTCCTTAGACCCTCCTGCATCTGCAAGAAACAACTCAAAAACCCAGTGGGGAAAACTGAGAAACCTTCTTGAGGCCAACATTCAGGGAGGGTCCATCTCCCACGAACAATCCGGGACTCAGGTCTAACTCCAGGATATTGAAATATGTCCAGTCGCTACTTGCGCAAGTCCCATAAGGCCTCTCTGCTTAGGGGAACCTAGAAGCTGCATGTTTGAAACCACAAGGATGCACTGAAGCAACTGAAACTTTTGCCATCTGCTGGCCATTTGAAGAACTGCAACATAAACAAGAAGCGAGGAATACGAGAACTTTGGTTTTATTTTATTAAAACATCTTTGAGTGTTTGGAAGCTATTATTAAGCTCTTGTATGATAGCCTGCAAAGCATTATGGTGCTGCACAAGTAGCGAATGGATCTGGGAAGAACACATCTTGGAGACCCGTGTTTCTAGTTCCATTCATTCTACAGAGGATCAGCAGAGCATCGCCACATATTGCCACTGTATGGACGGTTTTTCACACAGGATCTATCCACTCGGGATATATTGATAATCATATAAATCATTGTTTGGACATCATGCAAAATTTGAATATTGAATCCATTATGTTTTAGCATGTCGTTGTTTCATTACCAAAATATTGCTTAAATATTGTTACTACAATAGTATATTTATAATCTGGTGATTCAGATCTAAACCTCCCTCGAAAGACAAAAAGTTTGAATCAGTTCTGTGGAGTTGATCTGTCTCCTCAAGATGATCATTATAACCGCTAATATTTAAAAGCTAGCTTGTCAAAAAGAGACTCCAACAATTATCTGAATCTAGTACTAACTTCATGAAAGGTGCACTATGTGGTTTTGAGTTACAGGCCCCAAAGTTAGTTGCAGTACAATCAGGGCAGATCAACGCCACTGTTGATCTTAATGTAATGAAATGAGCCTGCCCTTAAGTAGGTAAGTTGTTTTTAAAAATTTCAGTCAAAGTAACAAAATCTTTCACCAGCCCTACTGTACTCTACTGTACAATGCTCTATTCTACTCTACATGGTTGTGGTTCAATTACGCGTTTGTATCTGGTATCGCAGGCTAGCACTTTAGTAGTAAGTAATCTTTATATAGCACATTATTACAGACCAAGGTCACCCAAAGTGCTTTACGATGTTCAGAGACGCAGAACACGCTGGTGCATCAAAGCCTCTGACCAAACACAATCCATTCACTCACTCATTATATTCAGACCTATTGTACATGTTTTTAGTGGTGGGGGAAACCAGATCACCTGGAGGAAACCTACACAGATACGTGGAGAACATGCAAACTCCCCTCAGAAAGGCCCTGTTCCGACCGGGATTTAAACCCAGGACCTTCTTGCTGTCCACTCAGGCACCGTGTAATTTTAGTACCAGCTCATCCTGGATAGAACCAGGGCCAAGTAGATACCGGAAAAAAAACTGCAGGTCAAACAGGGCTGGCTGTTTGACCTGGCTCCTAATCAGAGTTGAGTAGAGGCGAGGAGAGTAGAGAAGGGCCAAGTAGGGCTGGTGGAAACAGGGCTAAAATGTAGCTTTGACTAATGTTGAGATCAGGTGTATGTAGATTGGCTGTTAAATAGAAAACACGTGAGTTCTTCTCTGTGTGATCGTATGAACTGCTCAAAAAGGACTCTTGGCTCATGAGGAGTTTCCTCTTATGAAACGGTTCCGGCCTTTTGACCACACACCTGCACCCACCGTGAAAACTGTAGAATTACTCTGAGCAGCACTTTGTTAATTGATTGTAGAAAATATGAATGGATTATTTTTAGAATGTTTTTGTAGATACTTTTGATAGTGTTATAATTTTGTATTTTTGCTGGTTTAAAAGTTCCTATGCAATAAATTGACCAGTAATGACTTTTTGATAACATTTGAAAAGACTCTTGTCTGTGTAAACTATGCCATGAGACATAAGGTATTCTAACTGCAGTGTGACGAGTCATTGCATCTGTCTGTGTTTGTGTCCATGGGCAACACACCTGAATTCACATGTTTATTACAAATACTGAAAAATTCTGCACATGGCATTATTCATTCACAGTTGTGGTAAACCACTTATGTAGCAACATCTGACCTGGGGCAGACTGACCAAAGCGAGGCTACTAATCTGCCATTGGCCCCTCCGGCCACCAACACCAGTCATCTACACACACTCCACACTCATACTGACAAAGTGAGTGAAGTGTCTTGCCTAAGGACTCAAAAACAGTTGGATCTTGGCTTCTGAGATCTGGCTGGATATGGCTTTCACTTGCAGGTATTGAGTTAAGCAGCATATATTTAAGTTTCAAGTTCTGAGTTCCCTCCGCTGAGTGGCTAAGCGCTCACTTAGGGTGCGGAGCTCAGTCGCATGGGGACGAGCTTTGAGTGAAGCCAGCTGAGGTGACTCAGGCATCTGTTTCGGATGTCTCCTGAATGCCTTCCCGGAGAGGAACCTCCGTCGCACCGGGCCTGGGAGCGCCTCATGATCCTCCACAGAGGAGCTGTACAAGTGTGTGTGGATAGGAGAGTCTGGGTGTGTCTGCTTAGACTGCTGCCCCTGTGACCCAGCAATGGATAAACAGAAGAATGGATGGATATTAATGATTAGACTCAACATCGAGTTTATAATGTTACTTCCTGTTTGAACAGGAGATTAAGCTGTGACATAGGTGGAGGTAATTCTTACAGAAAGTTTAATAAAACTTCTAGTCATCCTTATGTTGTTGTGGACTTTGGCATTCCTGGTTACCAGTTTTTGAATCCGATGACATAAAAGAAACAGCAATAGAAAAGTCATTGTGAAGACTTTAAATGGATTTATTATGGACCTCTTTTCTCATTCTTTCTTCAGTGACACACGGAGACAGCCAACATAGACCCCCCCCAAACGTCTGGATCCAAATATCAAATCAATCGTCACAACATGGCACAGAAAAGAACATCTTGAATACAGTGAAAACAATGCATTACAGCACAAGGATAAAATGAGCAGTTATGACGAGAACATGTGCCTATTGCATCATCAGTAGTAACAATGAACAAATCATATACAAAAACACAAACATGCACTGTTTTAAAAAATGCCTGAACAAAACAATTGCTTTCAAATGCCCCTTTTCAAGTAGTCTTTAAAGACACTGTAGAAATGTTGGTTTGAGTCTATTTTGACCGTCTTAAAATGACAGACCGATAGAACATGTTTTAGTTCGAGTTCATATGACAAGTTTGGTTTTACTTTTCATCAAAATCAACAGCCAATTCTTAATTATAATCATTTTGACTAATGATTTCCCAAATTTCAATCTAGTTTAGCCATAGTTCTATTATATCATTTTTGTACATCAGAGGGATGTACCATGTCCACTATCAACCAAACTGGGCCAAAACTTGTCCAGTGTACAGAGAAAATATATTTTGACAATCTAAATGACAAGAATGTGGAGTGAACTATATAAAGAAGTAAATCATGCCATCTTTCCGTTCCTATAAACATGATCTTGAACCTTTAATGTGTGTGTGAGTAGAAAAAATGTGTTGAAAGTTAAATAGTCTGCTAGGTAAAGCACTGACACCTACTGGTGTCAGTGGGAGTTACAGCCGCAGACGCAAAGTCGTTTAAAACATTAAAAACATCAACGTAAGCACAGTGGAACGGTTGAAGATAACATTAAAAAGATTAAAAACACCTCGGCTCAGTCCATGGTGTGAATGACAGATTCAACACTGAGCGATCTGTGAGAGGACGGGGGGGTTTGTGCTGATTTTTCATTTTATGTTAGCAGAAGCTGAAAGCAACACGCTTGTTCAAATCAAATTGATGTAATTTCTTGTCAAGCAGGTCCTAAATATTTCTGAGACTTATTTCTCACTTCCAACTGGCTCAATCTTTTTATTTTGGGTGAAATCGAAATATTTCTATATTTATGCATTCAGCTATTCATAGTAACAAATCAATAACAAACAACTCTAAAACTCGACATTTTGATTCAATTCCGGAGCATTTTAAGGCTTTCTTTGGTCCAACTAATAATTGTGTTAAAAAGAAAGAAAAAAATAAGCAAAAAAGAAACTAATGTAACAAACAGGTAAAAGTGTGCATTATTCTAACACGCATAAATTAACACAATCACATTTTGGTAAAAAAAAATCTATAAAGCTAAAACAAAGAAATATTCTGCATGCATTCCATTATTTCTGTATAAAAAGTGGGGGCACTGCTGACAAATACAAAACTGCATTCTTAAAAAAGGAACAAAGCAACAAATTGGAACTTGCAAACAAAGTTAGCAATAAGTTGTAAAAAAAGAAAAAGAAAATGCACTTTTAAAAACGTCATGCGAGAGCTACATTAGATCCTTTTGGTCAACTGTTGCAGAAAACGGCTCATGAAAATCACCAACGTCATTTATATTTGCGTGGTCAGCGTTGGTCACTGGTGTAATGTGGAGAAAAGTGGTATTTTGGGGCCAAAAGAAAAACACTTTTAATTCAAGTAATAATGGGTTCTAATCAAGCTTTGCCAAATATTTCACACTTCACCCGCCAACTCAATCTGGGCAGAACGATCCAAAAAACCTTAAACATTACAGTCTAGTTGCTTGGATTGTTTGGGAAATTCATATAAACTACTCATACTAGCAATAGCAGCTTGTACCGTCTCTCTTATGAAAATATATGTATCTGTGTTGTAAATATTAACCCACTACTGGTTAGACGCTACACTGCATTTCGTTGCATTGTTCCGACTTTGTAATGACAATAAAGTTGAATCTAATCTAAATCTATGTGAGACATATTTCGCCGCCTAGCTTTACGCACAAATGTGAAATTGCGTCAAAACCGCTCTTAACGAGAGAATGATATTTTGTTTCTACATACAATAAAAAAAAAAAAACGTATGGCGTTGTTGTATTTCAAATAAGCTTCGACTACACTTAACAATGTAGTTTAGATTATTCGGTTCCTAATTTCATAAGAGATTTACTTTTGACATTTGTCCTTCTTAGTTTTAATTCAGGTTAAATAGTCTGGAAAAGGCTAATTCAAGTAAATAGGGTTAAAATCACATATATTCAAAATGTCCACAAAAGTCTAAAGTAATTTCCAGGTTTTCCTCATGCTTGTCCCTGAACCTCTAGATACATTTACTGTTTTCCTTTTCTACTTGACACTAGACAAGACATTCATGCGGAGTATTTTCTTATAATCGGACAACAACAGTTTTAAAGTATTTAAAAGAAACACTGGGACATGTAATCACCTTCTAGCGACGGCGTTCATGTGAAATCCACTTGTTTTTGCGTCCCTGAGATAATGCTGCCTCCGATTCATTTCCACTAGACACAAAACGCGTTCACACAGAAGTCCCTCCCCCGTCTACATTACCATGACGACACGCACAGCTACATGATCCGGTGAATAAATACATGGCCATAAACAACAAGCAACATCTCCAAATATTACAAATAGACCCGACTTCATAAAAGCAACCATTCGGGGTTAGTATTTACAGTAAATCTTTGAGGATAATGGATTTGAGACACAGAAATGTTGTGTTTTGGGTTTTAAAAGGTACAGTAAGGATCTTTATTGCTAGCTTCTCTTGGAATGTCCTGCACTGTAGCATTTAACTTCTCTCTCCCCGTAGAAACACACCAGTAGACAAAATAACTGTGGAACATCCCAGGCAAAATCAGCCACTAATTTACCATTTACTAGAGATTGACCGATATTACGGCTGCACGATATTGGAAACTAGTGTGATATTAACGGCTTATTAACCGAGCGCGAGGTCTGTATGGAGAAATATCAGACCGCGGCCTTAATGTACAGTGCAAAAAGGCCAAGGTCTGATATCTCTCTGTACAGACCGAGCAAGCAAGGTTAATAAATGTTTTATTATATGACTCTCGTCTGTGTCTTTACCAATGCTTTTGAGATATTTGTGAAGTATGTCCATGTCCGACTTGGTTTTGTGCGATACACGCTGCGGACAGATTGTCATGGTAACGGTCCGAGGAAAAATATCAAATGTGATACGCGCTGTTCGGACCAATTGTTATGGTAACGGTCCGAGATGGGAAAATATCAGACCGGTAATCAGCCAATCAGATCGCGCGCGTATTGCGATATTTTTGTCTTTCACCTAAAATTGCAATCTGCATTGAAACGCAGGAAACAAATAACATTAATGACATTGAAATGCATTTATATACTTTTTTATTTTGTTTGTTTCTTGTTCTTGTTGAATGTTGATGTGTCTGTTGTAAAGGATTTAATTTTTTATTTTTTATTGCGGATATTTTTGATACGGATATCGCACGCACCAATATCGCAATGACAATATGTTTTCGATATATCGTGCAGCCCTAACCGACATGTTTTTATTTTGTGGGTGATATCCCATTTTAATCCATTTTTTTGACGAGCCACAAATATTTCGCTCTTTAGTAATTATTAGTTAAATTTATTATTAGTTAAATTGACAGGGACCAGAATTAGCCAAGAATTCCAATTCTCATCTGCGGGCCTTGGACAGGTGTAAGGTAGGAGTAATTACATAATGTCTATGAATATTGAGGATTATAAAAACAAAAAACACCAAGATGTCCATCTGTGGATATTTTTTTTGTATTTACTTTGAACATTATGGGGGTGTTTTGAACTAATTATTACTTTTATCGAATACAAGTTTGTATACCATTTCTGTGGTTGGTTTTCCTGAACTAAAGTACAGGTTTAGGTTCAATCAGAACTGGGCCCAAGATTTAAAAAGAATGGTACCAGATCTAGATGACAGAATCCATAGTTATTACATAATATGTTTGGGTTCATTTGTTGTTTAGAGTAAAATAAAGGGTCTGGTTGTTTTCCTGAGAAATGTTGCTTTAAAATGAACTACAACGTGCCACAATAGCAGATCAGAAGTTAAGGCCAATAGTCCGTATTTCAGAACTTCAAGTATATTGGACACTTAGCATTTCGTTTCAAAACGTTTGTGTGTTGAAAAGGAAAATAATGAAAAAAAACCAGTGAGACTTACAACCCCCAGAGATCACCCCCAGACTGGCTTTGTCATGCAGTCTGACATCTGTGCAAGAAAACACAGCGCAAAAAGCGAGCAAAACATGATAACAACAGTGTACCTTTAAAAACCAGCAAAAACAAATGAAAAATGTCTGTAATTTGTGGGGAATAAAAATCCTTGACAGTTCTCCGATCGAGGGGTGTATGAAGAATCGTTCTGAAGATAATACTGACGAGAGGGCCACATGATTTCACTTACTCCTGCACAAATGGGGTTTGAGTTTGAGAACTTTTTGCACGCAGCTCAGAGAATGTCGTCGGTTCTGATTGGAGCGTTTGGTTTTCTCTGAAGAGCACTTAGAAACTCGTCACTTGGAATAAAGTAGATTGTTTAAATTGATTCATTTTTCGCACATACTAAAACATACAATCAAAAGATGGCTGCATACTACAGGATTTTAACCCTTGAACCGCAACAGATGAGAAAAATACTCAAAATTAGGGTCCACATGACTCAGGACTAATCAAAACTCAGCTAAAAAAATGATTTGTGGGGGAATAATGTGTTCACTGTGGTGGGTCAATTTGCCTTAAGGTTAAAGATTTTGAGTCAGGACAGACGCCAGGGCGATTTGCAACAGTTTAGTGTCTTACAGTCAAAAAGTGGACGGTATATATGTGATACTTCAATGTGTTTTTAGTGCAAAAATATAACAAGACTTAGACCTTAAAGGCCTCAGGAGGAGCCGGTTGTAATGAAAAGTGAAAATTATGGATGGCCATACATTACAAAAAATAGCTTCTAGATCTCACAGATTAATCCTTTCTGAATTTGAAGGACGGAAAATTGTGGCATTTTTTTTTTTTTTAGCAATATCTGGATTAATAATGATTTTTTTCATTGACTAGGTAAAATTGCACTTCATGTCTATCTTTGTGTAGTTAAATGGTTTATTGTGTATTTATCAAACATTTGTACATCAACCAATGTATGCTATAGTGGTATCATTGGTTTGATGGAGTGTTGACACGGGAGGACTCCAAGGCGCAGAGAGGATCCCGGTTTATGTTCCCAAACTAAAACCCCATTTGTGTGGACTTGCTTTGGAGCTGGGCATGTCCTACTGCTCCACACGCTCCAGACTGTCTATGACTCTGCTGAGGCGGATGTTCAGCAGTCTGACCTGCGTGTCCAGATGGTCAATCTTCTCCTCCAGCGAGCCCTGCCCTCCGGCCCGGCGCCAGTACGCTCCCACGGGCCCCGTCATGAAGTACAGAGCCATGACAAAGCACAGCGGCAGCACGGCCTTCTCCGGGTCGCCCTCGAACTTCTGCAGGATGTAGAGGCAGGAGAGCGCGAAGAGGAGCACGCGCGCCACCCACAGGAAGCGCCCAAACACCGCGTGCAGCAGGTAGAAGAAGCCCCCCAGGAACATGGACAGGAACCAGTAGGACACCAGCACAGCGGCCACAAGCAGCAGGGCACGGGCCGGGGACGTGCTCAGAGAGGCCGGGCTGAAGTACTGGCTCAGGTTCGACGCTGTGAACAGAGGAGTGCATCACTTAGGGCTGTGACCAGTCAATCAATTCAATAATAATAATATGAATAATAATAATAATTATGATAAGGCATTGGTTGTATGCAGTCTTTTTTTAGACATATGTCATTATTCTATTGTAAGCATAGTAATGCCTCAAGGCCAAAGTCTCTGACCAATTTGTTGAGTCAGGTCACGAGATTCAGAGTACAGAGCTTCTGTTCAGAGCTGTCATTTTTTAGAGCTGATGAAGAATAAACAAAACATTTTGGACAGATGTTAAGACCTATAGTGACAAAAAATAAAACATTTGGACTCACAGTCGATGCCCATAACGTCCAGCAGGTCAGACCAGATCTTCCACAGCGTGTCCAGGAAAGAGTCCACTCCATGAACAAAGCGCTCCGTGGTTTTGGAGAAAAACTGTTTCACACAATTATTCTGTTTTATATACATCAACATAAATTATATCTTTCACTTCATAATTTACAGTTGTATTGTGCATCTACTCTACATTTCTCAGGACTTAACAGAATTTCGAAATGGTTCAACTGAGTGGATAAATAAACTCCAGCAAGTTACTGGTCAAGCCTGCTGTGGTCACGTGATTATGTCAACGTATTTAGAACTTTTATTGGCTTGTGAAGATAACAAAAGAAATACACTTTTCTGTCGTTTAGCCCAATATTTCCCCAAAATAATGAGCACATCATACTACAAATTACGTTTAACACAGGACAACAGGGAGCTAACTATTATATCATCATCCATACTGAAAAAAAATGAACTAAATTAAATAGAAATCACGCATTATTGGGTACTTAAGTCACACCATTTGTCATAGCATCATCTGCAATGCTAAATATGACCAAATAATAGCTAATTCTTCAAAATGGCACCCGGAGTGCCTTATAAGGGGCCTGGTTTCCTCTTCCCCATGCTAACACACGCACTTGCACATTGATGTACAAATGTTTAACCATGCAAACAATATCTTGCTGGGATGCATTGGCCCAGATCTCACCTTGTACAGGCCTTTGATATTGTCCTCTCCAAACACGTTGCTAAGGCTCTGGTACACCGCGTTAGCCGCCCGCCTGAAGCTGTTACTGGGCTGGTTCCTGCTGCTCCTCGCTGCCTCGGAACTACAGACCAGGGCCGCTAAAAGAAGCGCGAACACTGCGGAGAATCGAGCTCTGTTCATGGTGACGGAGGAACGAAGACGCAAAGCCGAAATGAGCAACGAAAACCTGGGGAAAGGAGCCGTTATCCACCGCTTCAGCTGTGGAGCTCTATGGAGGATGCTGACCACTGTGCAGAGCTAGAGAGCAAAGCGTTCTGTTAGCCTGGTGACAGCAGCGGCCATCTTGTGACTGTATTAGCAAATAAATGAACGATGGTGAAGCTATTATTATTATTATTAGTTATTATTATAGATCCATGTGTTGAAGAAACGTTTCTTTAGACAGAATGATATATTTTTAGTTATAGAAATTCTTAATGTCATATAAATTACCATCACATTAACCAAGAAGCATGGCGATAGCGTTCTGTAATAAGTACGATGGTATGGTAAGGCTAAATCCAAACCTTCTGTTAGGCCTATAATTTGTGTATGGGTTGAAAGTTACTTTAGTACTTATACTGTGTTTTAATATTCTCTGCCAAAATATATATGAAGATATTTAGATGTTTGCTTTTACTTGTCATAAAATCTTAGCTCTCTCTGCTTGTGTACAAGTCTCTCCATGGCCTCGCACCAAAATATATTAGTGACATGTTAGTCCCATATGAACCGGCCCGGACTCTGAGGAGCACAGGGACTGGACTCCTGTTAGTGCCCAGAGTCAGGACTAAACATGGGGAGGCTGCTTTTCAGATTCATGCTGCTAAAATCTGGAACAGTCTTCCTGAAGATGTGAGACAGGCCTCCTTAAAACCAGGTTAAAGACAGTTCTGTTTAGCTGTGCATACAACTGAGGGATTTTAGATTTTTATCTTTCTTTTTAATGTTCTGTGATTATTTATGATTTTAATGCTTTCTTATTTTGTTCAGCACTTTGAATTGCCTTGTGTATGAATTGTGCTATATAAATAAACTTGCCTTGCCTTGCCTCTGTCAGAGGTTACCATGGTGATCTTCTCTCTAGCGTCACTTTACCTAGGCAAGGAAACAGTGGTAGATTCATGAACATTGTGTTGCGTTTCATTCAATTAAACAAACGGCCAATACTTCCTCTGACAAAACACAATTCAAACAACTTCATTTGTGTCATATGTTAATATGTGACTTATTTTGGTTGATAAATACATTTGTAGCCTAAAAAACACACTCAAAAGGATTGAGTAACAAAAAAAAAAAACAGTAAACGCATCAGTTCTCATTGCCAGACCTCTACCGCCATCCACTGTACATACCAGGAAACACCGCAACAGTTGTACAATATATTTATTTCCTCACACTATTATACTTTTTTTGAGGTACAGTTTGAAGTTAAATGGATGACAGTTAAATAGACACATTTTTGGTTTGGAGAGTACTCTGAAATAGCTGACTCGTATAATCTTTTTATTTTTTAATTATTCAAAATATAAAACAATACCAACTCTCGTAGAGACAACCAATCACAAGGCAAGGCTTCAAGAGATGTAAAAAAAAAAAAAAGTAATAATAATAATTAAATGAGAAAATACAAATTCACAAAATAGACACACAAACATCTTGAAATAGATTTTCAGCAGAATGGTACATTTTAATAGCTTTCAGATTGGCTTCCATCAGCTTTTTCAGAGAGGACAAACACATTTTAAATTGGTTTTCAAAACAAATTCGTTTTGGCATGTTCTTTCTCCATTTTCTTTTATGGATATGATATTTGAAGCCCCAGCTCTCATTGCCACCCCCCTGACCCAGAAATGGACAATAAAGGGCTTGAAAATGAAATGAAATGAAATGATATGATATTTACCCATTATCAATAAAGTATTAACAATTGTCACATAGTCTTTAGTAACATTACTTTTATACACGAGAATATCTTCTTTTGTGAAGTGTGTTAAACTGTCAATTATTATATTTAACTAATTATAAATATTGTCCCAGAATTGTTTTGATTTGGAGCAAGATACACATTTTTGGCTCCTGCTAGCACCCCTCAGTGTCTCAGCAGATGGATAATAGTTGTTAATTATCTTAAATTACATTTCTTTTATTTTAGTCGATACAGGCCATTCTAAAAATTTCTAGTTTTTCCCATCTTTTATAGGATTTTCTAACATTTTATAATGGACTTTTTAAAATCATAATTGTAGTATAAAGTTTTTTTAAACGACCTATTCAAATGATTTTCAAGTGATTTTTAAGCTATTAATTTTTACTCGGGTAATTTCATTTGGACTGTAGAATATTGTACTTCTATAATATATAGAATATGTAATTCTATATATTTTTTTCATAGTTTTTAGAAGAGCACTGAAATTATGTTTATTTAAGTAATTTAAATGTAATATTTAACCACTTGTATCCAGAATATCATGCACAAAGATAATATTTCAGTCAAACCAGTTTTGATAAAAGAAAGTTTTTTGTTTGATATAATTACTCTTATTCCACAGGGGGGCACAGTGAGGGGTAAAATTATGGATAAATATCATTTTCCAGTGATACAGAACTTGTTTGTGGAATTCAGAAAATGTTATAGGCAGCTTTGAAATTTCAAAATCACATTAAATTAAGAACTCTAATCCACCAACCATAACAAAAATGTTTCAAGGGATGTTGAACCAAAGTGAATCTGGCTTTGACAGAAATTCCTTCTACCACTATAATCTGAAAGTTCTCAACATTGCTTCAAAATCCATAGACTCTATGCCTCCTTGATCGGGTTCCTTCACCAGTTGTGATTTTCTTAATTAGTGTGTCTTGAGAGCAAATTACTCACGTGGGTGTCCAACAAAGAACAGTTGTGCAGGGCTCATGGTGGATTTAAACAGGGACCCGCAAGATGACTTGCGGGTCCCATGACTGCTTCGACGATAGAAAAGGACCGCTATCATACAGTAGTAGTGTGGATTGACAGGAGCCGTTGACTACTTAAACCAAACTTTACACAAAACTTTGACTCTTCAAACCCACATATCACAACACAGAACCATCAACATCTCTCCTCAAATTGCATTAAAAGTGACATCCCTGTGTCTTAATTCGTTGGTATTTTATCTTTTAAAGCGATTCATAGATTTTTGTCCGCCATCTTGGTTTGCTTTGACTGCCGTGAGACGCGCATGCACAGGTTTGCATAACCTCATAAACATCTCGATAAGGCAGTGCAAACCGACGTTAAACCCGCACATATGACTTCTTGTACTTGTGGCCACAGCTTGGCTCTGGCCTCGCAATCCTCTTTGGAGAAGTCCTCTTTAAAAGTGATCTTCATATCTTTGCAAATCAGCGCTTCCTTTGACTTCTTCAACACCTCATCTCTCACTGCGCATGGCAAACTGTATTATGATGGGTTTCAGCATGTTGTTGTTCACTGCGCCTCTTCTTCTCAGGTGATGTACTATATCCACCGTGTCCCAGAGCTTGTCAACTGATGTAGGTATCACACGGGTGAGGATTCCAATGACCACCTCTCTGGTGTTCTCCTCGTCTTTCTCTGGAACCCCCAAAAGCCTCAAATCCCATCTCCTATTGTATCAGCAAATAGAGATCAAATAAACACAAATATAAACACAAATCTTTCTTGTTTTCTTCAGAGAGCAGCTTCATATTTTCTTGTAACTCAACTATGTGATCTCTATTTTCCTTAACAGATTCCACAACCAATAACCGATAACCAATTTCCACAATACTTGTTTCACTAATACTTCCAGCTTTATTTCTAGAACGTCAAACTTTTTTAGGTCTGCCTTCACTCCATCCACACGTGTTTCAATTATCCCCAGCTTGCCACCCCAGTGGGGGAGGGTCCCAGCTCAAAAGTGGCCAAAATGACGTGCGCTGACATGCTTGCAATACCACCCCGGGCCGATGGGGGTGGACCCAGACATTTGGCTCCGTTCCACATGCTGAGGGGGGTGGATTTTTTGGTCCACTCTAGTTTACTTGCTGTGAATTTGTGAAAGTCTCTCGTTCAAATGAATGGAGCTGCGCCGATGCGTTTTTTCACAATTTTCTTGTGGGCGGGACCACTTGTGGCCATTTTGGATAGCTCCAGTAGAGCACATTTTTTGGCCCATTAGTTAGAACGGCGGAAATAGGCGTGACTCTGTCCATTAAAGTGATAGTCTGTAACTCTAAATGAATTACAAATTTTAGGAAATGTGTTAAATTGACCTCCTGGCCTTAAATATTGATATAAAATAAGTCATTTTATTAATTATAATATTACGGGCAAGTCCCGCCTTCACTTCTCTTAGCTATGGTTCAGAATCCATGGTGCCGTGACACCTAAGACTGTCATGCATGACACCTAAGACTGTCATGCAAGTTTTAAAATCCCATCAAGAAACTATGAAGCTTTGCTCATTGACTACCAGCCATTTCGATGATCCTCCACATGCTCTCTGTCAGCTTTAGAGACACCTTTACTGTTCAAACTGTCAGTAGAAACTGTTATTATTGTGAATTCATATTACATAAAGTTTATTGCAAAAATAAGAAATTCAAATAGTCAATTTTTTATTGTGTGAGACATGCTATGCAATAAGATGTAAAAATGCAATATAAAAATGTAATATACAAATATTCAAATAAAAATAGGGTAAAAATACTCAAATGAAAATGTAGCATACAACATTTTCTAGTTAAAATGTAGTATAAAAAATATTCAAATGAAGATGTAGTATAAAAAATATTCAAATGAAGATGTAGTATAAAAAATATTCTAATAAAGATGTAGTATAAAAATATTCAAATAAAGATGTAGTATAAAAAATATTCAAATAAAGATGTAGTATAAAAAAATATTCCAATAGACTATTAAAAATGTAGCATAAAAAATATTCAAGTAAACTAATAAAAATGTGATACTAAAAAATAATTCAAATAAACTCATGTAAGATAAGATTTCATATCATCATAGCGCTACATGTCTCGGCACCAAAAACAAATAAAATCCCCTAGCCCTTCCTCCCATGACACGCAGACCCAATGGAACCAGCTGTGGCAGGTGTCACACTGGACCCATGGCACCGTCTTTCCTTGGCCGGGTGGATCCACCTTTCTGCACATTCCACATCCTTTTTTGGCTCTTTTGGCCGGGGGAGCTGTAAAAACGGAGAATCATTAATAACATCTTAATTATTAAGACTAAATTAACTAGGCAAACAAACACTAGCTGACATTGATGGTGTTACTAGTTTCAGTAATGTCAGGTTTTAGGGAGGTAGTGCAGTATTTGCAAATGTTATTAAACAGTGGGAGGAATTCCACTCAATGTGAATCTGAGACGATGACTATTGTATGCCTATGGTATACATACGGACGGTCTCAGTGTTATATCTTTGAAATATGCCTCCAATGGTCTATTCTATTTTATTACCAACAGATGCCATGGGTCTTGTGGAGGAAGGGCTAGACGGTGGTGGAGACGGTGGTTGGAGACGGTGGTGGTGGAGACGGTTGTGGTGGAGAAGGGGGTGGTGGAGACGGTGGTGGTGAGAAGGGGTGGTGGTGGAGGAAGGGGGGTGCTGCAGGCGGCTCCTAGGTGGTATTCGAGGAGAGTCAGGCAGCTGAAGACCGTGGGAGGTTGAAAGGGGATTGGAGGGCTGAGAGGCCGGTGGTGGAATGTCCGGACTGGCAGATGAGCACCGGGGTTTGCACTGATGCGGCTGGGCTGGGAGTCACAGCTATGGCGGAAGTGGCTTCCGCTGGATCTTCAGCCGCTGCTGCTCTCGGTCTTCTGGCAGAGCTGGTGAGCTCGCTGCCTCGCAGCTGGCAGACGGTTGCCTCCTGTGGTGGAGACAGCGGTCAGGTGGGTGAAGGAAGGCGGTGCGTGGTGGAGAAGGCGGTGGTGGTGGAGGAGGAGGCGGTGGTAGTGGAGACGGTTGTGGTGGAGAAGGGGGTGGTGAAGAAGGCGGTGGTGGTGGTGGTGGAGAAGGTGGTGGTGGTGGTGGAGGAGGAGGCGGTGGTAGTGGAGGCCCATATGGCATGATCCGGGACCAGTCAACGGCCCCCGGATCCAAGGGGTAGAGGCCACACTTTCTGAAGCCTCCAACCACAACGCCTCTATCCCTCATCTTCAGATATGAGTTTTTGAGGACCCTTGAAAACTCCTTTTTGGAAAGTGTGAAGGAGTGGCTCACAGCCGACAGATCCCCAGTTGTGCCTGCAAAATCTGCCTTCAAGGGTCCAAAAAAACTCACATCCAAGGGCTGAAGGATGTGTGACGTGTGCGGCGGGAGGCACAAAAGGATGACCCCTGCCCCCTGTGCCGCCTGGATCAGCTCTGGCCCGAGGTGTGATGCATGACCGTCCATAACCAGCAGCAGCGGGCGCTCCTGGGTGGCATGTTTTAAGAAATGCTGGTTAAACCACTTCACAAACAGATCATTGTCCATATATCCAGCCGGTGACTTCCCATAAAGAGCATTGGGGACCCCTTCTTTATTATAAGGGCCCCCCGGATATCCCCCCTTGTAAATAATGAATGGGGGGATATCCTCCCCTGCCGCATTTAAACAGGCCAGGACGGTGATATGCTCCCTGGTGCCTGGAGCCTGTCTGTAAGCGTGCTTGGTACCCCGGGGCACGACGACTTTCCTCCTCTGGCTGTCCAGCTGAAACCCAGTCTCGTCGCAGTTGAAGATGCAGTGGGGTTTCCCTCTCAGCCCGTACCTGTCCATTGTCGAGGACAGTAGATTGAAATAGTCCTCGACAGGCCCCCTCTTCGCACAGGATGCTCTCCCATGGTCAATAATATCTGGGGTCCTGGTGGTGAGCCGTTGTTTTTGTCTCTCCCTGAAGTTGACCCACCACGTCTGGCTCAGCGCCACCTTTGGTGTTTGTGGGTGGCGCCGGTTGAAAATTGCCAGAGCGTGGGTCACCACCTGTGACTTTGTCAGTGGGAATCCAAAGCTGGCGGAGTACAGGCAGTACTCCACCAGCGCATTCTCATCTTTCTCAGAGAGAAGTGGCCTCTGACCATAGGTGCTGTCAGAGGCCACTTTCCCACTGACTCGGTCTCGCAGGGTGGACTTGGGGACCCCAAAATGTACAGCTGCCTGCCTATAAGAGAGCCTGCCTGCCCGCACTTCATCAATGGCCCCCTCCATGGCCACCGGATTCCAAATACGGAACTTTCTTTGTTGTTTCCTGATTACGCGTATGCTCGGCATCTATGGAGAAGAAATAAATTTATACATTTATAAAATACAAAATTGCTTATTATATTTTATTGATTGTAATTATTGTACATCAATTGTATAAGTTCTAATGTGTTCTAGGCATGCAGAGACATTGTGGTGCATGTTACCTGTGACCTTATCAGTGTCCATGTCATGTCATGTTCTGCACAATTCTTTAAGTCCTGTGGATAACAAAAGCACAGACACACACCTACCTTCCTACTAACTTGATAATATCCTATCTCGATCTTTCCCTTTCCTAATCTCTTATGTCTTTCTCCTCGATCTAGCCTTCAATACACAAAAAGACAGAAACATAAAGCAATGCAATACTATAAATAATAATGGATACTCAAACAGAAACTTGTTCTATGATAGCTATATGGTAGAGCCCCAAGGGGGCGCTGTTGTTGGAGTATAATCGGGGAACTGACGTTAAATTACATTTTGTGACTTCAGGAGGGCTATCTTTTGCAGGAATGTTGGGTAAAAACATTTTTTATATGAATTAATTTATAAGATGTGCACTAACCTAACCATTAACTACTTGCTACTTGCTAGTATCCATAAACTGATGTTTTAGCGTGTTTTTGAAACCCCGAATCTGTGAACAGACTCCTCGGGTTAGATTTTCAGAGCAAGCAACTGGACAGCAGGATTAAAAATGTAAATACTTAATTAATATAGCTAATTTTCCACTCGTGTATTTATAAGACTAGTAACGTGCATTGACAATAGTTGATCTACCAATGTGACCGTTAAAAACGACGAATTTGGCCTTTTAATCCGTAAAACAGAGAGTGAAAATGAGAGCTCTCCTGTCGTCAGAGCGTCGTCAGAGCGTCGCCTAAGCACTTCATGCAAGCATTTCCGTAAAAAGCAACTTCAAAACATGATTACTCAATGAAATTAGCACATTCATGATTTTTTTTTTGCACAAATTAACATTAACATGTGTAGAGTATGCTCACCCACAGCTTTCCCGTGGCCGTTGTTGCAAACCTCTGATAAAATCAATTTTATTTTACCTTGAGAAAATGAATCAGATTGTATACTTAAAGGTTTTATAAATGTCCTATTGTTTTATTTGGAAAATAAGATGATTTGACTTTCTGCAAATACTTGAAATATGAATGAAAAATAGCAGTTGGCAGTAATGCTGATACTTTTATATGATTTTACTTTTATTCTGTTTTGTTAAAGCATTACTTGTAACAAATATTATGTTAACGAGCTAACAGGTGGTAAAATATAAATACTTTGAAACGTATTATTTCTTTGACGCTGTTGTTGACGTTGTGTATGGTGAACCGGTTTTGATGGCGAGCCAATCCCATTGAAGAACTCCTTCCTCTGCCGCACCGTCCAGTGTGGGAAGCCAGCCGCAACAGGAATCCAGTTCCGAGCCATTCCCTTCTTGCTGCCTCCTTCTACATACATTCACACAGACTCTTTCTGACGGTTACATTCAAGACTTTTGGACTCTACACACACGCACAGGAAGTGGACTTGGTGCGGTTATGGAAATCAAATTCCAGAATAAGGTTTATCTTATTTTATTGTTGCAAATATTGTGAAGGTTCATGCACTGTTGTGATTTACTGTGAAACCAGATATGTATTAGATGGGTGCACCCAGGTAAGAATTGATAACAACTGTTATTGTGAAAATAAGGTTGTTAAAGAGAACATTGTTGGTACCGACACATTGAATATTGAACACTTTTATTTCTTTTTATTTCTCAAATAGAAGCCGGCTTCTTTTGTCAAAAACTTTAAAGCCTTTGTCAGTGTCTCATTCATTTCACTTCTCCTGTAAGTAGCCAAACCTTCTGGTCCAATTTCCTAAGCTCTTTTATATTAAGTCAAATCTACCTTAAGTAAAGTGAGTGTTACACTTACATCCGACCAAAACATATGGTTGGTTGGTACAGTGGTTCAACAATCAGCTCCATCTTAAAGTGATAGTCTGGAACTCTAAATGAATTACAAAGCTCGTTGTGACAAAGTGTACAAACTACTGTCAGCGTAATCTTAGTATTTTACACACCTGAAGTACAAAGGGCAGCGATCATTATTGGTTTGAGAGGTCCATTGTCAAGAAATAATGATCGGTAGAATGTTTTGAAATTACATTCACATCAACAGAGCATTCCACTGCTGCTGTGAGGAGCCGTATGATAAATTATGATCAAATATTCTAATATTTAAATAAATAATCTCTCCTCCGCACGTCTTGGACCTGGCGCGTGCACGGAAAAGTAGGCGCGGCTTCAAGACCAAAGTCCAGACAATCACTTTAAACACATACAGGCGACATGTAGAATACTGTTCAAAAGTCCTGTATTTCAACAATGTTAAAGAGAGTAACACATGACTGACTCACACAAAGTGACATCAAGCAAGCTGAGATGTTCGGTGCACACTGAGGTCTTGCACAATTTGTCCAATGTGGTTTCACTGCAAATGTCAAGTAAGTCTTGAATCCTGAAATGACTCACAGCTTGTAAAACTTCTTATAAAACCTCTCAGAAAATTTGAATAATGTGAAATGGACTGTAAGCCACAGTCATCACCACTACAACAAACAAAAGTGAGTTCTTATCATATATTAGTTTCACATTTTAAATTAAATTACAGAAATACATTATATATAATTTATTTCTGTAATTGTTTCAAAGGTACAGTATATGCACTGGGACAAAACATTTTAGTTCAATTACATGGAAATAAAAACATAATTGACATTGAGACAAATCCCTTTATGCATTTGTTCTCTTCCGTGTGCTGCTCAGCACGTTCAAAACTGCACGGCTATTTTTGAACAGTAGTTTGTTGTGCTACTTTTCTGCATAGTGTTTGTTGTATCTGTTTATATTTGAATAATCCCAGTGCTAGTCACACCTCAGACAGCTCATTATCTTCCAACTTTGGTGTGATTGTGTGGCTTCTTCCTGTTTGGCTCCTGAACCATCTGGTGGTGAGAGCAGCGCTGCAGAAGTCTGTGGGAAACCGAAGAGCCACAGTACAAGTGTGATCACCAGCCATCTGTGTTTCCATATTATTAAAAAACACATAGGAGCTGAGATAAAAAGTCCACCAAGGCCCCTGCGGAAAGGGCTATAGTAATGTCAAGTGATGGGAGAAATCCATCACTCTTGTCTCTTCTCTTATGCGAGTCTCTTAGACGAGTTTCTGTCTTGTGAGATCTTATATTGTTGAGACCATGGACATAAGGATTATCTGAATTAATATACTGTCTCATTGTCGCTCTCAGTGCATTGGAACAGTTTTTCCTGAAAAACTGCCTTGTAAGCATCCCATAGCACAGCTGGTGTCACTTCTTCCTTGTCATTTTTTTGAAAATAAAACCTAATTTCTTCCTTAAATTTATTTCTAATTTCAGGGTAATTAAAAATGTTGGAATTCAGTCTCCAATTTAGTGATTTGTATACTTTATTAAGATAAAAGTATATTGGGGAGTGAGCTGAAAGATCAATTGTGCCTACAGTATATCACATGTTTTAACTCTGAGTCAGTCTTTCTTAAAGGTAAACATATAATCAATTCTCGAATAAGTCGAGTGGGGAGCAGAGAAATGTGTTTAGTCCCATCCTGAAAGGTTAAAGTCAGCGACCATAGTTCAACAATGTTCTTATAGAAAGAATAATCACTACCTGGTGGTGCATAAATATTAAAGCTTGTTACAGGGAAGCCGTTGATTTTCCTTTTTACCAGTACATAACGACCCTCTTTATCCCTTTTGACTGAACTATATACAAAGCAAATCTGGCATGTACACTGCAAAAAGTAAATTCTAAGCAAGTAAAAAAAAAAATCTTGAAATAAGAAAAAAAACCTTGTTTTATGTATAAAAAGAAAAATTATCTTGTCTAGCAAAATTTCCTTTAGAATAAAATTCTTATTTTTATAAATTCATTCTAGCTTTTTTTTATTAAGAAGTATATGCTTTAAAAATTAATATTTGGATCCAAAACAAGCAACAATGAATTATTTAGGCTCCTCTTTCATTCAAGAACAAATAAGAAAACAAGAAATCTTAAAATAAGAAAAAATGTTTTATTCAACTGTATTCAATGTAGTTTCACTTCAATGTATTTGTGTATCAGACAAAACCACAGCAGCAGTTGCCGAGGAGGATTTAAAAAAGTTGTCGATTCACCAACAACAGATCATAGAATCATACAGGTGGAACACAGGAAATGCAATAATAACAAACACATGGAGCCATATGAGGAGCAGGACGACCACTGTCCAGAAATGTTCATAAATGTCCTTAAATGTCCCAGATCATCACTGTCCTCAGACCCTCCTGCATCAGAGGAACCACTTAGAAATGTGACACTGACACAATACAACATTATTGGCCAACCTCATGCACGTGATGCAGTCACATCTCCAAGATCATATTTAATGGGCACATATATTACATCTAGGGGGCGACAGTAGCTCAGTTGGTAGAGCATTGGCCTTAAGGCCAGAAGGTCGTGGGTTCAATTCCCACCTCTGCACCTTCTCCACCGACTCCCACTGATGACTGCTGTCGTTGTGTCCTTGGGCAAGACACTTAACCCCACTTTGCCCAAAGCCCCCACTGAAAGATCAAGGCTATGCTCTCACTCAGAGAGCAGCCGTCCTCCTGTGGACTCACCACCTGCAGAGGGTCAGTGAGGGGCTGGTGCTATGAGACTTGGGTGGCATCTCTGACTGCCACCCCCCTGACCCAGAAATGGATTAAAGGGAAGAAAATGGATGGATGGATGGATATATTACATCTTTGTGTACAAAACTGTGATATGGAGTACATTCCACAATAGCATCTGAAGAGATATCATTATGGTATTGAGCTCACTGTGAGCTCCTCGCCCCCTCCCTCCTGTTCCCGCTGCTGTGGGCGGGGCTGTTCCT